CGCGTCATAACGATGTATTAATGTTGACGCTTTATGGGATCAGTTGTTGTGTAAAAGCTTTACGTGTGTTTGGTTTCGAGGGGAAAAAACAGAAAAAGGAAAAACAGAAACGCATATCGGCGGGATACGCGTTTCGGAAACGAAAAAGTGATAAATCTGGAAATGTGGAATGACAGAACACATATATCTTCGTTGAGCGGAACTAGCGAATCCCTATATGCCGTACTAATCCTTTTCCGATACTGAAAAAATGATAAATCTCGGATGTAAAACCACGAACGTAGGATATCGATTTTGTATACAGGACGATCCGTAAGTGCTCCATAAGAAGTTTAACGTTTAAGCTGCTCTGTCAATTGTATGAACAAAATATTTGCACGGGTAGTTTAATGGTTTTTAAACAACTACATAAAATAATCAATGTTTTTATGTTACAATTAAACTTTCTAAATTTTATATATCATTTATTAATGAAGAAACTATTAGATTAGTATAAATCACGTTTTGAATAATGCCTAACTCTACGATATGCAGATGTATATAATAACATAGACACACGTGTCATATTAATTGTTAAAAAATGTTGAAAGTGAAATTTTCATTTAATTAGATTTGCCATTGAAAATTCTCATTGCAAAATGTACTTCATAAATTCACGTTCATCTCAAACATATAATATCGATTGAACGAAAATCCTTTCGTAAATAATGTTAATGATTGATATCTCGTTACGTCAAACCGGTTAAGCTTATCGCGCAATGTTTCAAACAAAATGTTTACGCCAATATATGTGTATATATATCAAGCAAATAATTTCGCATAAAATAGTGTCAATGTTTATAGATATAATACATTTAATCGTAGTCATTTATGAATAATAAATTCAGTCGTGTTGACAAGATCATTTTTAACCTCCTAGAGATTTCAACGCACGGTAATGTTACGCATGTTGGACTCATTGAATAAAAATTAAGATAAGAACATTGTATAATTGAAACAGATGATGAGATTTCTTTTGTTAATTATTTAATGAAATTTCAATGATATTAGTACATGATACAGAGTAGTAAATTCTTGATGTGTACCAGTTGACATCAAGGAAAGCACCAAGTAGGAACGTAATAGTCGGCACATGATCGTAACACGCTAGCAAACGAGCAAAGTTCGCGAAGAAGCCTTTCCGGTAGTGTATCAAAGCAGCAAGCAACACCTTGATTTTTCTCACAATAATCTTACGAAACTTCGGTCTTGTCTCCTTTTATTCCGACAACTCCATAGCTGTATATTTTTAATAACTCACAAAAAATTTTCTGAATAATAGAGAACTCATAGTACGAATTAGCATTGATAGAATTTCATCAAAGTTCTAGATTTTAATAATTCATACAGCAATTTCATTTCCTTTAAGCGTCTTCAACCCTCATAAGGTACTTGATAGAGTAACAGGTGAACAATAAATTATTCACGAAAGTTCATTTCTCTTTCAACAGCAATTTCTAAGCTCTAATTTTCTTCTCCCCCTGTACAGTCCTACAATCTAAATATGAGTACTTATATTCACATGATTTTTTATTGGGAATTATCTCAGTTTACTAATTGTTAATAAAGTTATTTGTGGGGGTAGCATTTACTAATTTTTGCAAACAGGTAGTGGTTGATACAGGAATAATAACAATTTCATGTTCCAGCCCTACAGCTCCTCCCTCCGCATCGGTTCCCACGTCTAGCAGCACGAAGTAAATGCAAATCTGGCCGCAGCATCGTCGTCGTCGGCTAAACAACGAGCGACGAGGAGGAATCGATGCCTCTGAATCAGCGACTCTGTCCCGCACGGACCCGGGGTGCGGGTATATATTGTCGTAATATTTCGGAAAACGCGCTGCCACCGTTGGATCCAGGGGCAATCTCACCCTCGAAGATGGCATATACGCAGAGGTGAATCGCCTCTTGCCGAGGAAATCCGAGGTAATTGAATGCTAACCCTCCTCCCTTTTGCCACCCTTCCGACCCTCCTCCGGTTCTCTTTCTCTGTTCGTCCACCACCCCGTGCAACCCTGAACGCGGAGGGGGCGCTGCGCTCATCCCCTTGCCATCACTCACCGACACAGACTTGTAGCTTTCAATAAAAATGTAAATATGGCGGCGTAGAACGAGCCAATGACAGCGCTACATCGATGGTCCGGGGCCCGCGACAGACGGACAGACAGAGCAGGAGGACGCGAGAGAAAAAGAGGAACGATAGCAGGCGAGGAAGAGACACAGCGAGGCAGAGGGGTTGAGGCTTCGAAATGGGAAGCTGGTTGCGAGGGTCGAAGATGGCGAACGAAGGAGGAGGACGAACAGGAGGCTTCGAGCGGTGAGTTCTCTCGGAGCTGAAGCTGCAAGCAGAAGTACTCCACGGATGTAGCTGGAAGAGGCGGGAGTAAAAGTGGAGGAGGTGGAAGCCTCCGGTAGAGATCGCTGGATGGTCGCGGGGGTGGGAGGATATGGGAAGATAGGTAATAGGAACTTGAAGTGGGTAGGGGAGGAAAAGGGAGAGAGGAGAAAAGATGGAGAGAAATAGGCGGATAGACAGAGACGTGGATGAAAGGAAAAAAAAGAAAGAGGAGAGAGGGATCGAAGAGAAGAAGGACGTGAGAGTGCTACCGTGACGTTGGCTGTCGTCACCTCCGGCTGGAAGCTGTTCCTCTTTCTCTGTTCCTCTCGTTCCGCTGAAAATATTGCCGGAGACGAACACGAAAAGGTAGGGGGAGCTGGTGGGTGTGTTGGAGGAGGGAATGGAGGGCTCTCGCGAGAGAGCGGCGCCGAGAATGACGCAGGTGCCGCAAAGCTTGACACGTCTCCGGGCTGTTTTGTCACCTTCTTTTATCCTTCGAACTTTTTACAGGCTGCCTCGTTAGAAGCTTGCTCTCGGCGTTGATGGAGTAAGCCGCCGTTGAACAAATGCGTTTTAAAATCACGCTACCTACCCCTCGAGTTGCTGCGGATCACGCGGAAAACTGGCACATCGTAATGAAAGCTGCTAAATCTCAATGTGTTACACGGTTTTTCTTTTTCGATGGATTAGCCTTTACGACTTCCCGTCGAAATACTAGACCTAATACAATTTTTTAAACGCTTTATGAACTTTGATCTCTGAAAGCATAAGCAACAGTTTTGATTGTGAAACAACAAAAGCTGGAAACATTTGTTGAGAATGACAAATATTGATGACGTCAGACGGACAGACAGAGCAGGAGGACGCGAGAGAAAAAGAGGAACGATAGCAGGCGAGGAAGAGACACAGCGAGGCAGAGGGGTTGAGGCTTCGAAATGGGAAGCTGGTTGCGAGGGTCGAAGATGGCGAACGAAGGAGGAGGACGAACAGGAGGCTTCGAGCGGTGAGTTCTCTCGGAGCTGAAGCTGCAAGCAGAAGTACTCCACGGATGTAGCTGGAAGAGGCGGGAGTAAAAGTGGAGGAGGTGGAAGCCTCCGGTAGAGATCGCTGGATGGTCGCGGGGGTGGGAGGATATGGGAAGATAGGTAATAGGAACTTGAAGTGGGTAGGGGAGGAAAAGGGAGAGAGGAGAAAAGATGGAGAGAAATAGGCGGATAGACAGAGACGTGGATGAAAGGAAAAAAAAGAAAGAGGAGAGAGGGATCGAAGAGAAGAAGGACGTGAGAGTGCTACCGTGACGTTGGCTGTCGTCACCTCCGGCTGGAAGCTGTTCCTCTTTCTCTGTTCCTCTCGTTCCGCTGAAAATATTGCCGGAGACGAACACGAAAAGGTAGGGGGAGCTGGTGGGTGTGTTGGAGGAGGGAATGGAGGGCTCTCGCGAGAGAGCGGCGCCGAGAATGACGCAGGTGCCGCAAAGCTTGACACGTCTCCGGGCTGTTTTGTCACCTTCTTTTATCCTTCGAACTTTTTACAGGCTGCCTCGTTAGAAGCTTGCTCTCGGCGTTGATGGAGTAAGCCGCCGTTGAACAAATGCGTTTTAAAATCACGCTACCTACCCCTCGAGTTGCTGCGGATCACGCGGAAAACTGGCACATCGTAATGAAAGCTGCTAAATCTCAATGTGTTACACGGTTTTTCTTTTTCGATGGATTAGCCTTTACGACTTCCCGTCGAAATACTAGACCTAATACAATTTTTTAAACGCTTTATGAACTTTGATCTCTGAAAGCATAAGCAACAGTTTTGATTGTGAAACAACAAAAGCTGGAAACATTTGTTGAGAATGACAAATATTGATGACGTTAATTGTCTATGGAGAATTAAAACTATTCGAACTTTATGTTGGAATAGAAATGGATAGACAAATATAGTTCCAATAGGAGAAAAAGAATGGATTAATAATTTCGTACGACTGTTCTGTTAGAAGATCGAAATCGAAGTAACAAATGTTATATCCCAGGTCATTAAAAAGGATGATTTTTCAAGCTTGTAATCCCCGCTTAAACAATTAAGCCGACAAGGAAATATTAAAACGATGGCGAGCGTTAAAAACAGGCAGCTACCGTTGATTTTACTTTTTATCGCAGCTTCTGTTCGTTCCATCATTCACGGATTAATATCGGAGCCTGCGAACGCTTAACTGTTATGAATTTTTATTAACCCATCTACATCTGTTACTCATAATTAGCCGGGTCTCCACTTAAATCATCGTGACGTTTTTATTGAAGATTACCGTAAACTTTATTAAAACCGTGCATGTAATGCCACATTCTAGCAATATCGTCATCTAATTTTGCGACGAACGAATCTTCCTGTCTCTTCCCTCTTTTATTTACGCTGCTATCCCGTAAAATTATTCTTATTGAATTTTTCAAATTGTGATTTATTAGTCTACGTTCTTCTTGCGTTAGCATTTGACTCGTCCCGTTTGTTGTGGAATAATTGTAAATCAGGAGGGTTGATAGTTAACCAATTTTTACCCCGACAATGATTTGTCACGGTTAAGGGAGTCTAATCGCTAAAAAATCACCCTCGTCCCCAAGGGATGACAGAAATTCCTTACCTTGACTTGGGACTCGGACATTCCGAGGGCGTACGCCAATTTGGCACGTTCTGGGCCCGCAAGGTATTTAGTTTGTTCGAACGTTTTCTCGAGGGCGAAGATTTGCTGGCCACTGAATGTTGGCCTCGTGTGTTTCTTCTTGCCACCCTCGTGTTCCCCAGTTCCGCCGGAGCCTGTCATCGTCTGCTGACAACCCAGCTGTTGCGACACTGTAACATCAATATCTTTCAGAGATACTCTCGTCACCTTAATAACATTTGTTTCATCGTTAAAGCCTGGTTTACGATTAGTAGAGTGAGTGTAGTAGCTGTCATTTATTTTACTAGTGTAAACTGAGATACTCGTATACACTCTACTAATGTAAAGTAGTATATGTTAAGGGACAGAGACAAGCTTTTATTGAGGTAGAGATAAACTATAGTAAGATATTTCGAGTTTATGCATATTAATTATCTATTAAAAGTTGCAGGGAAGAAATTGTGCAGCAGGATAATTTTGCAACAGCAACGTGTGTCGAGTTTCTCGTTAAACGGTCACATTATCGCGAAACTTATTCAATAAATCGCAAGCACGGTACGCATCCCTTTTACCAAGTAATTAATCTTCATCAATTTTGCGTCATTCTTCTTGCTATCGGCTCTCGTATTTGTTCCCGACGATTTACATACCCTATCGATAATTACGTCATAAATTTACATCTCGTTACACGCCGAAAATGTTGTGTAGAACACATCTATTAAAAACCATCCAATTATTCCACGATAACCGGTTGATTGCAACCTTTTGCGGTGTTTCCTTCGACGTGCAACTCTGTTCGCTTCATCAACGTTAAAAGTCGATATTGCAAATGCTTGTTAAACGCAAAAAACCTCTATGTCAAATCTTCTGAATTCCCCTTGATCATTTCGCATAATTCAACCCTTTCAAAAATAACTCACAAGGTTTTTATTAATTTTAATAAGAGGTGCTCAAATTTCACCCTGGTGATTTAAAAGTTGATAGATGAAAAATATCTGAATATTCCGCTGAAGGGAGCCATAAAAAGAGGGGGAGGAGATGGTCGTTTAATTTGACAGGATCACGTCGTTCAAGGGTTAAACACTTGTGCGATAGACCACAATCATGGCGTCCCGACGCCTGCCGGCACGTGCCAGCCACGTGAGTTTAGTGTTCCGCAAATAGGGAGGACTTTGTTATCCTTGTTATCCTTGCCATTGGTGCTGTTGAATCCCGTGTTCGATGCGCGATCCCCAGGATAGATACTATCGTCGGATAGGATGGCACGTGACGAGAGGGGTGAAATTGGGGTGGCATTATCGCGGCGCGAAGATGTTCACGAGCGATGTGACGCGAAAAACCGGCGCGATTAGCATGATCTCCCCGTCCGTTCTGCTCGTAAAGTTAACCAATCGTCCAGAAAATTGTGATAAAATTATCTACTAATTTATCTCGCTCGTTTGTTATATTGATCAGGGGGATGAAATTCAGAGCGTAATTGGTACTTTGAGAATTTTAGGGTCCATGAAGGATGTGTTAGGATTGACTATGAATTTCTTAGTTGCAACGTGTAATTCATACTTATGGCAATAATTTCATAAAATGTGGTATATAAATTAAAGGTAATGAACGTATTGTAATCAACAGGAGATCGAGTGTATATACAACAATGGAACATTGCGAAGGGAGAGTTCATTAGAAGATATGTTGTTGTTGAACATCTTGCTTGCAAGGTATAGTATTATAATTGCATTATAGAATCAGTCATACGTTGGTGTTAATATTTTGTTCAATCAGGGAATAAAATTTGGAATACACAGCCTTGGAACATCGAGAATATCAGACATCATAAGAGGACATTATGATTGGACATCAGTTTCTTAGTTGTAATGTATAATATTAGTACTTATGAAAGAATCTATATTCAGAAAAGCAATTTATATATTTGTACTTATAATTGACTTCACACACTTGTGTGACGAATTTCAGCAGAAGATTGACGAGGGTTAAATGAGGGCAAAAAAGCGAGGACTTATCGAATTACCGTAGAGAAAGTTGCACGAGTTTACGCAGTTTCTAAGTAGATGAATAGGGGATATCGCGTGAAACGTGTACCTCCATCGAAGCAGAGGGTGGAGTGCGGTAAGCAGCTCATTAGAACCCTCCCCGCCAACTGGCCATTATTGCCTCGTTCCGTATTCCGTTACAAATTGCTTTATTAAATTAAAGTCCCACAACCCATACTGTTGTGACGACCCTACGTCTCTTCCCTTCCCTTCTCTTCCCTTTTCGTTCCTTTTGGATCCCTTCTCTGTGCCGCGGGTAACGCGTTTGACCGCGTGTTATCGCTCGTCCACGCAGCTTCTCTGCCCCTCTTAATTATTCTACCAAATTTTATAAAATATCCGAATGCAAGCAATTGAGAATTTACTGTGTCAACATTTTTTAAAAACTCAATGCGATCCAAAAACAGATCTGTATTTTACAATTTTCTTGCAATTTATCCATAGTCCACCCAACATTTGTCCCCAATTCCATTTGACATCTTTATCTCCACATTCTTTAATTCTCCTTTTCTCCTGTCCTTCGATATCACCACCCACATTGTCGCTCGCAACCTCAATCCACCATCCAGCAGTCCTTAATAACCCGGAAACACTATTTCATCGCTCGTAACTGGCTCTCGAAGAGACAGTAAACTTGTAATCTAAAGCTGCCATAAATATTCGTGTTAAAAAGAGCCAAATGCAAGTAAGAACGATTATCCACAGCAATTACTTTCAGACTAAAAAACCATCTTCATCAACGATCTGTGTTTATAAAATTATTTTGTTACAGGGGCGATTGGATGGTAACCAAGAATAGTAGTAATAAGAACAAAAAGGTGAGTAGTGTATATGAGCAAGTTAGCGCTGTATCAATATGAATTATGTTATGCCACACTATTTAGACAAGTTAATAGAGCCAAGATCAACGTTTATTTCAGCAGTGCTTCCAAGCTGGGTCCACATTTAGGCCGTCAATGTACAAATGGACCTTAAGTGTTAGGTCCCAGGGTGATCGTTTTAGAACTCCTCGCTCGCTTCACGCGGAAGCCTATCGACGTTACAAGTCGGTGTATAAAGCATACATCGAACAGTGTCAGTGTATTTCAGGTCGTAAGTCAGGTTACGAGGGATGGTGGTAGAAAAGGCACGAGAGCAAGCTAGAAACCGGGTCTACACTGCGAGCCGTCGTTCGTGCGATGCCACAGTTAAAATATTGCCAGAGTTATTCGCGTGAGTGTGGAAAGCCAGGGGCCGGCTGTGGTATGGCGGGGGATGCTTTCTCGAGGGTTGATATTGAATATGATATTCCGGATCCGACGCCGCCGCAGCGGACTACCGCTATGCTACCCTCTTATTCGTCCCGCAGTGACATTCGTACCCGACGACGCTGAAACAACACACGCTTGCTCGTCCACGCCCTTCCACGCGTACTTACATCCTATCTTCGTCACCCTTCTTTTCCCTTCGTTTATCCTCCTTGCTCGCTAACCATCATCCCTTCTACAGCGTGTCGTCGGACGCTGGTGTGCGTGCGGGGTTGGCACATGTGCCACAACAGGGCTGATGTATGCTCTCGGAAAGGGGATGCTTCGCTCTCTTCTTCGACGTCACGTGTTCTTTCACTTTGTTTGTGATTTTTTTCTTTTGCGGCACCCTTAATCGCTTTTACAAATCGCCTCAGGTCTAACCACGAGTTTTATACAAGATATGAGAGTTTTCAGAGTGAACCTTCGCAGGGTTGGCCGAGAATTCGATTTTGAAGACGCGACTTCGATGGACCGTAGATGGATACCTTCTCAGGGTATCGGATATTGTTTGAGGATGTGGTTACACGCTGAAGTTGAAAGTTCTTCTTCTCCTCTTTTTTTAGATTGTTTTTATGGGGTATATTTTAGAGAATATGTGTAACGTAGCTTTTCTTCAGATACACGTAGAAGGAATACCATTATCAGTTGCTTTCATCGATGTTACATCTAATTAATTATTTTATCTATATTGTTTTATCTATATATATCGTTAACCAATTATTATTAAATGCAAGTAAATGAAATTGAAATTGGATGTCATCGATATTTCCCGTTGAAACATGTACACATAAAAAAGGTGTTTTCTTAGATCTCGGAAACAGCGTTTAGCGATTCAATGACACATGTTTTTTCGTTTCGGTCAACCGATTTCCTCGTCGCAAAAGCAAACACGAGCAGCTGTCAAATCTGTATAAAATCGGACGAACCGAAATATCCCGAAGGTAGAAAAATATCTAGGGCTCCCTCATTGCTATGGATCAATGTTTTCAATTCAATCTTTTTCATTTCAACGTCCTCGTTTTTTCCTTGTTTCTTTTCTTTTTTTCGTTAGGTCTCTATTTCCGTGACCATGAGGTTTGGTAATGGTAATACCATCTTCTGTGACGTGTGAATTAGATGGTGTAGGATGATCTTAAAATTTTTGTGTATTTTTAATGAAGAGAGAATTTAAATATTTTTCCTTGAATGAAATTGAAGAAGTATTGATGCGAGTGACTTCCTAATTCCATTATTTAGTTTGCTATTTTTAATCTTGTTATTGTTACTTAAAGAATGCAGTTAACAGTGAATTATTTTTTACAGGAGCAGAACTTGCTAAGTTCAGATACGTACAAAGTACAAATACAGAACAGTGGATGTACATATATTGCAAAAGGAAACTTACGTGTGTGTAGTCTTGCTCGCCATGCCAGAGGATCGCTGACTAATCCCTGAAGACCTGGCCAATAGACAGCAGGATGCCGTGGTTCCGTTCTTTGTTGAAATTGCCCGATACCTGCATTCAAAGCAAATATACCATGAACAGAGTATGGTATGCGCATGCACAAATAGTTATTCTTTTCTCGTTTTTTCCTTTGTGTTTTTTTATGAATTGAATATAAAACGTTACATATTTTAAGACTGAAAAATACCAAGGAGTATTGTTCGAACATTGTGTAAATGAGGATATAATGGAAGCAACCTGTATTACCCTTTATAGTTCACTATATCTTTCAAGAGATCGTATAGCCAGTAGGATGGCCGCAACTTGACGTTTGTGGCCACCAACAAGTCCAATCATAACAGAAATTTCCCCTTCAACAAAAAGTAACCAGCTATTCTTACTCTACCTAAATCCTCCACCAACAATATTGTTGCAAACTATGAACGATCCTTTCTTTAACCACGTTGTCACACCGCCTAACCCAACTCCCTGAAAACCCACCACATATAAAACGTTATTTCCTGTTTTAGTGTCCTATCGAGCGGTGTGCTCGAAGCAGGAACGATCGGCCGATCGTTATTCCTTTTGTCCGTTACGTTGAAATCAAATAAAATTTATTGGATCATAAACGACTGAAGGCTGCATACTCATCAACAAAAATATTCGGTATCATCCAGCGACGCTTTCAGTGGCTACGGAGCTGACGATCGCTCGAGGATCCTTCAACTTTAATTGAACCTCCAACAGAGATTTTTATGGTGCTCGCCCTACATATAATCCGGGATGAGTTAAGGGGGTTGAAAATCTCAGTTTCTGGAGATCGAGCGTTTTCATGTTGACAGAATTGTGGTGAAGAAGATGAATCGAGACTTTAAGGAAAAATACTAATAAATTTCTGAGACTGGAGTTAAGTATTTCTATTCATGAATTGCATTCTTAAAAAACAGTGTAGTCAGTAGCTATACATTTGTACCGTAAACTTGCAATTAATAGTTTTGTTATTTCTTGTATCGGTATACAATAAAGGGGTTGTTAAACTCCTTTTGACTATGGAGAAGCGACGGTGAATTATCACGAAAGCAGATGCAACGAGGGCTGGTAGCAAGAGGAGGCTGAATGAACACACGGATGCGTATCGAACCTGCGCGTTCCGTATTGCGCGACATGCATCGCTCGCCCATTTTACTTCGGGGGCGGAATACACGTTTCTACAGCGTGCACCATGAACAGGGTACTGCAACTTACTTACAATGAAAGGAAAGAAATCTTGTCTCTTTTTTACAAGGATTAAATATTTATTTAATGCATCTGACATGTCAAGCTAATACAGTAAATTCATGTTATATTCCGCATCGACTTTGGTGTGCAGTATTGGTGTTCCCTCATTATTGTAGAGCATAGAAATTACACGTTGCATATTCAAGTATTATACCACGCATTGTATAGTCAAGGGTTGCTACTGTATAGTCAAGCCTTGTACTTGCACGTATTGCATGACTCTGCATTGAATTACCATGCGTTGTATTACTACACATTACATTATCACGCGTCGTATTCCCACGCATTGAACTGCTATTTGTGATATTATCACGCGCTGAATTACCAAGCGTTAAACTTGCATAAGTTGTATTACCAGGTATTAAGGTACCAAGCGTATTATCACGCGTTGAAGTGCGTTGCATTTTATCTCTACACGATTCTTTATCTATTCAAGATCATAGTTCAGTGTGATTATGTCTTAATCAGTGATCATCAGAAGCCACGATAGTTGTAAAAGATTCATGGTTGAGCAACACTGTAGACACTATAAAATTGTTTTCCTTCCAATAAAAGAAGAAATCTTCGTCGTGGCACCCGTAAAAGCTACCAAGGGGTTCTCGAAAGAATCTTTTGCGATTTATATCCGACTGCCGTGCTACTTTTGTCCGTGGTGGACGTTCAAATATCTTCAGAAATCGTGGCCATAATTCGCAATAATGGAACCAGCTATAGTTTGAAAAGAGCCGCGTTCCTTTAGCGAACATTGTTTAAGATCTCGTTCCTTACTATCTCACTCTGCCGTTGTTTTTCTCGTTTTCCTTCATACATTCGTTTTTCCTGTATTATTTCTCCTTTCTGTCATACATGAGCTTAGCTCACAAAAAATATTGAAATTAGTTCAATGATAATACTTTCACGTTACATGTATTTGATTGACACATTTTTATTAAATTTTGGCATTCATTTTATCTAAAGATATCGGTTTCATTTTAATTATACATATATCACAAGGAGCAGTTTAATAATGAGTGTAAATATTGAAACTGATAACAGCATTGATAAGACAAGTTACGATAACAGTGATAATAGCATTGATTCTATAATACGAGCGTGAACGAGAAAGTAAATGAAATTGATTTTCTATAACTAAACATTAAATTCGAAATTGGTTTTGTGCTAACCAAATTTAAATTTTGAACATTGTGTGCTAAGTTTAATTAAGCGATGATCATACATTTGTAAAATAATTTATCGAAACATTCAATAATTTAAAAATGATGAAGGTTAAAGAGAATTTAATAAATAGTTTTAAATTAATTGTATCAGCTCGGACCCCCAGTGACCTTGCCAGTGTCATCAAGGGCCTAATTCATGAACTCATGAACCCCGGTCACGTGCCTCCCTCGTTCATAAAATGTGTTTAGTATTTTTATGCCTCTCTCTTGATGGCCATGCTTCTAAATTTATATTCGTTCTCCTGTGCCACCGTATCATTAATAATAAACGCTTAATCCGTTCGATGAGATTGAACACCCTCGGTTCTCACACTTCACAATAAAATGTGTCGAAATGACTAAACGAACAGTTTGGAGCGGATTTTCGCAACAGGCTTCATTTCACCCGTTCACGATCGTAACCGTCGGAACTGGTATCGTTTAGGCTCCGCTCTGCAGGGAACTTCCGATTCAAACATTTATGTTTGTGTAACATTTATTTAACGCCATTTGCAAGATTTATTAGACATGTTTGTCAGATTCGATTACTTCACTTTTAACAATTTTTGAGTAGTGTATGAATGTTTTATAGTTGAAAGAATTGTAAAGACCCAGAGTTTAGAAACTGAAAAACTCCAAAGGTTCCAAAAGATTGTAAAGAATATTAAGATTAAGTTTATCAAAAGTATTTGTGGAATTTAATGTATCTCATTACGATCTTTGATGTTACAGGTAGACAATGGAACAGGACACAGCTGATCCCTCTCACAGTTTCAATGTGTGCTTGAACAAGGATCAGCATCCCTCGTGCAAGTTGGCCACCGTCGTCAGGTGGTTAACCCAAAATACGCTAACTTCGAGACTCTACGCGTTTATCTAATTCGGTTAGGCGAGTTTGCGATGCGGAATCGATTCCGACCCTTCGGTCCCTGCTTTTCAATCAACTCAAACAAATTCCCGACGCATCAACACTTGGATAAATGGCGCTCTTCCAAAAATTAATTTTAATTTATTGATGTTAAATTTAAATTATTTTGTTTATGCATTTTATATTGCGCTGATTATTTTGTTCGTTCATGTATGATAATTAAAATCGATACACGATTAATTACGATCTGTAATGGCGAGGGGAAATTGTTTGCAATTCACTTTCGTTTCATTAGTGAAGCGACACGAACGGGTTCGTAAATAATTGCCGCTTTAATCATTTTAAATGCACAGGTAATCTGGGATCAAGTTCAAGATAGAGCCCCCCGACAGTTACAGATTATACTTGTGCATAGAACAGCCCTGTATTTACTCAACAATTAATTTCCTTTCGGAATAATTAGATGGAAGTTTGCAATTCTGTTTCTCGACAAATTTAAATGTTCAACGTTCGATTTTATGTGGAAGTTTGAAAGCAGTTTTCAAAGCAAGATTTGTAAGTAAAATATTTTTAAAAATCTGGAATATGGATTTATGATATAATCGTATGAATTCGTTTCAGAAACAATCATTTTTATTCTTCGATCGTGTGCTGGAATTATAAAACTAAAACACGTCTCTTTTGATTTTATTGAAATTAATTCGTATAAATTAACGTTCATTCGCGTAGCACTTGTATAAATCAGTTTAAAAATGGCTGAGACGAATTCAATCAGATTTTTGTCACGAATATAAATATTAATTCACCAGTCTTTCAGAACGATTTTATTTCATTGCTAATTTTGCTTTTAGTATTTTAAACTTGTGTTCCTATAAAATGTTTTACCATAAAAAAATGATATTCCTTTTCATCTATTAATTATAATTGATTTGTAAAAATGTCAGGTAATTTAAGTAATATAATGGTAAGAATTAAATTTTACATAAACGATCTGTGTAAGTATTTATACATTTTAACGTTAAAACACTTTCAATTTCAGATTTCAACTCTCATCAAAATTAATCTATGATATTTTCTCGAATGTGAAGAAAGAATACAATATCTATAGATAAAAAAAGAAGAGTTAATCCATCAGCAAATATACATATATACTCTAGCAACCAAACACAAACTTCCTCCGTCGATATTTCAGAAATAGAACTGGAAATCAAACGTGTCCATTCGCTCTTATACACATGGAATATTGTACAACAATCAACCTTTTGTTGAACAGCGTATAGTTGTAATTTACAAACAATGAAATAGAAGAATCTTTGAGGTGGAGTTTACATAATTTGGGAATCAAATAAGTATGTTAAAAATGAAATTATAATCAGACATGTCCACTCAAATGTTATACAATACCTGTACATAAAGTACAACAAACAATTGAATAAGAAATCTGGAGTAATTTCTATGTAACTACATTACACCTCGTTACAGGTCACATCGTCAGTCGATAAATAAATGAATAAAAATACAAATACAAACCCGAAGAAGCGGTGAATCCCGCGTGCATGCCGTACCGTGGCGCAGTCATGTGCTGAGGATGCGGCGTCGGTTGTAACGCGGCGTGGGTCGCCGAGACGGGTGCCTGAGGATGCGTGGCCGCCGGCCGCGAGAGTATTGTGTCGATCCCATGTGGATTGCTTCCGACGGACGTGATGGAGGTCGCTGGACTGTGTTTACCACTTCCAGTAGGCGAGGATTGTCCTTGGGTAATGGTGGACAAGGGTACGCTGATCCTGGGCAACTGCAGACCTGACTGCTGCTGTTGTTGATGATGTGTCTGCTGCTGTTGCTGTTGCTGTTGCTGCTGATGCTGTTGGTGCTGCTGACTGTGGCTTCTCTCTGCCATGGAGTGCAGAGCAGCCAAAGGTTGGCTCGCCAACATGCTGCCACCGGCAGCACTCAGGTTAAGGAACTGCAGAACATGAGGAGCTGCAGCCGCGTGGAAGTCATGCAACCAGGGAGGCCTGGGCGGCGGCGGCGAGTGGCTGGATGCCGGAGGCGGTGAACATGAACCTAACGAGGAACCCGCCGAGGAACTTCGATCGCCCTCCAAATGGCTGTTCCTCCTGTGAGCGTCGCTCAGCGAGGACATGTTCTCACTTAACTGGCCCGCGACTTCCGGGCTGGACCGCGACTCCAAGTCCGTGCAGGGCTCACCGGTATCGTTGCAATTCTTGCCGCTGTTGTTGTTGTAGTTGGTCAAAGAACACACCATCTCGCACCACGCATAGTTCGGCAATGAGTGGAAAATGTTGGCGGAGGTCCTCGCGAGTTGGCCCGGATTTAGGCGCACCACTTCCTTCACTGATACACAACAGACATGCTGTCACTCACTGGGACCGGTGACGACGATGCCCGTGTCACAGTTAACCCCGATCACTGTTCAGCCGATCCATCGCGTCGCGTTTATCTCGGCTCCCTGCCACCTGGAAGGCCTAATCCAGAGCGATCGATCCAGGAGGTCTGGAAGGAAAGTCGAAGGACTCCGAGGATCGTCGAACAGAGACAGTGTCGTGTAAACGAGAATCGACGAGGAAGCACGAGGAGAGAACTAATAGGGGGTTGCCGAGTGACTCGCCTCGCCAAGTGGTGTGCGACTGGGGTGCATCGGGGAACAACGAGTCTGTTCGCTATCCTCGCGATTCACTCTCTCGGCATGGTCGTGCTCGGTCGGGCTGTGAGCCGTTGTTCGGGTTTGGGTTCGGGTTCGCGCAGTACCCACCGCCGATAGGTCGAGCCTCCTAGCCCGTCTACCGAACGAGCCTGTGGATTGGCGTGGAAATGGTGGGTCGGCTTCGCGACGAAGGGCGGTTCTGCGCCCGGATTGGCTCGCTTGGCTTGTTCCTCCGAAAGAAGAGGTGTTTCGGGCGGGGCCTCTCAATCTCGCGTTAGCTTCTTGTTAAGCGTCTTTCATTGTGTGTTTAAATTCGTAATTTATGATCCCGACTGAATAAAACAAGAACTCGCTGGTTCGCTTACTGGCTGGCTGGCTGGTTGGCTAGCGAGCTGGCTGGCTGGCTGGCTGGCTGAGCTGTTTGGCTGACTGGCTCGCTAGTTTGCTCGACAACTGGGCACCTCTGTACGACTATGGTGACACTACCGCCTCGATAACTTCCTTGCTTCCTTGCTTCCTTCCACCCTGACTGTCGTACGCGCTCTCACCCCCTTACCCTTCCTCTCCATCACCGTTGTACCTCTTTCTCTCTTACTTTAACCTCCCACACCACCCTCGCCACTCGTCTCCGGCGAGCTCGCAACCAGTCAAGTACGCGTAGCCCGAGCAAATCGAGTTATTTGCTCCCGATGGTCCATTTGGCTTGTTCCTCGCCGTTCTACGTATGGGCGATGCACGTGTCAACGAGAATTCGGTTACTTCATCCGGCTAAACCATTGCTTTCAGGATGACGTAACTAATGTCGGATGAACTTAACGGGGTTGGCTCTGGCAGGCTGGCCTGGCTGGCGAGACTTCGACCAATCTAATGATCGCCACGCCATCGACCAAACCTTTCGCTCTTTTCCAACTGGAAGATGAATAATTTATGCCACTCTTAGTCGCTCGTTCGCCCGGTTACGCGAGCTTCTCCTCCTTCCGTGTCCTCTTTCATCCAGCTTGATATTCAACGAATGACTTCGGGGTGAGGAGTACCTCAAATCAGTACAATCCTTTATACGACAAGACTTCAGGAGTTTGTTACGAATAAAGGATGTGGAAATTATTGTTTGCATTTGGGTTCATTTTTGGTACGTAGAATATCACAGTTGAAAGGGTACCAAGGGTACGTGGTAAAGCTTGTTTGTGACCATTCCAGTTTTCAGTTTAAGTTTTACTAGATATCTAGTACGATTAATGTGGTACTAATGGATATTTTATATATTTTTTAGGTACCTTCAGTCATTTTGGTGTAACTAGGGTGGATCCTCTGGCTTGACTATTAGTTACAACGTCCTTACATCAAGCATAGCCAATTTTTGGAAATTTGGTAAGTAATTTAGTCATACATTTTGGTGCAGATATTATTGCAATTATGTATCGAGAATTTTAACGGAAAATTGAACTCGAAATCAATGAGAACCTCTTCAGCGTCCGGTTATCGTAATAATCCGTATTAAACGGCCACGATACAGCGCGGTATAATAATATAGAGACAATGATACGCGATAAAAGCGCGACTTGATGCTTCATGAGGGCACGGCATATGGCAGGTTTTACGATGCTCCTCGATAGCACCGTTTGAATTACGGGAAATAATCTGTTGATCCTCTGTTTAAATAAGATGACTTTTATTATACAACGATCGATACACTTGGATATTAACTCTCTTCTTCTGTTTCAATGCACGTACTGGAAGACAACTTTAAGAATATTTGTGTCGACATGTAATTATTGTTTATTTAACTACGAAAAATTAATGCAAAGTTGTTAAATAATTGTCTGAAAAACAGAAGCTGAAAAATTGGAATGAAACATATATATTAAAAGAAGAGTATCCGTCGGTACATGGAATCTAATCGATATAGAATCTCATTTTCTTCCGAATAAGAATTCTGCACTTTCTTATGGAACGTAAATTGAAGTCTTCTGAAACGAAAGACTCTAAAATCATTACCGAAGTTTTATAGTTAGAACTTTTGCGTTAACTACTTTTTCATTCAGTAAAAAGTAGGAAAAATTCGAAAGCATCAAATTTCTTTGAGTTTAAAAACTTGGAGGGCGAGCATACAAAAATAATATTTATCTTATTTCTAATTATAGGTACAAATAGTCGGACAAAGAGGGGAATAAATTCGCAATCAAATGATCGTCCTTCTTCTTCACTCTCCGCCATCTGGACTCGAAATCATCAAAATTTCGAATCGAATAACGAGCAACGAATGGCGTCAAGATCTTACCAGAAGTTTCTCATCCCTTTAAACAGTTCATTCCAAGCTCGAGCCGCAATTTAAAATCCATTTGCCGGATCGTTGTTCACTCACGCACGTATGTAACCTAACATCCGTTCCATGTCCTTTGTAATTCGAAAAAAATCGCATTTCTGCCGGCGTAATCCTCGTACGAGGTGGCAACGTGGAGCATAAATTTCTCGTTAAGAACTAGTCCCATCATTCGCTTTTATCTGCTTCCTATGGAAAGTCATTATACTATCCGTGTGGGGCCTGCCACCTACGTCTCTCTGTTCGATGGTATTCCTCCCCATTGCCAATCGTCCTTCCTGTTTACAGTGAAATTATTACCAGCGAGTTGGGCCGTTCAATAAAATCGTGCAAATTACATCGTCGCGTTGATCAGCCGGCAATAAAGCTCTCCAACTCGTCGACTCGATTAATGGACTGCAGGCATTAGGTCTTCCGAAGCAATTGAAACGATTAATGAATTACGAATTAGCAAATTCAATTGTAAATTGGACGTTAATAGCTATGTATTGTTCCATTCTCTATAATTTTTAGCTGACATTTTTATTTATTTATTGGCAGGTTGATAGACACTGAGGAGTTTGAGGAGTTCAAGATTTTATGGAGTGATTTGTAGGATTTTTATGAATTTAAAAACTTTGAAGATCTTGAAGAATTTGTAAGGAAAAATGTAAGTTCCATTTTTTGGGTCTAAGAGAGTAACTAGAAAAGGATCTCTTAATTGATATGTACATTCAAAACTGCAACTACAATTCAAAGCACATTCCAAATCGCATGAATAATAATAAACCCAGTGGCGTACGTAACAAGAACATGCCGAAAACAACCCCTCCAGTTAAATAGCAACAAGGCCGACGATAAATCAGACTCTACAAAGGCTTAAAAATGGCGATAGGAAAGGTTTGTCCCTTGATTCGCAAAAGGATCTCCCTTTCCAACTAACCCCATACACAAGACACATCGTCACCCTCTATTTCTTTATCGAAATACTTGTTTCGAAGTTGAAGGAACGATAGTAAAGGATAAGAGTGTCACGAAGAAGAAGTCTACCAAGTTACAACTATAGGTTTTCGTAAAAAGTTCGAATGCCTACGACGTGATCATGAGACTCGTAATCGCGGGTCGAATATAAATTTCTCGATATATTCCCTCTGAATATTCCGTTGTTGCTGGACGCATCTGTTATATTCGATATTCCCTGTCTTCGACCGTCGGTTTACTCTCCCTGTTCAGCATTTCGGGGCTAATTTTTCATGCAGCCCTCGATAGCCTTTCGAAGCGTTTCAACAACGTTATTCGAGCTACGAATTGCAGTCAAATAGGGAGACCTGACTATTTGGATGACGGGACATCCGTTTAGTCGATGTTCGACCATTCAGGCGTGAAGAATGAACCACGTATAAAGCTTCAGTTATTCGTATACAAGTTATAGTTTTGAGAATTAAAGCTCATAGTTATGTACAATTTCATTTACTTTCAATAAGACAGAAATTTAAAAGTGTAGAAAAATGAATTTGTAGATTACCAAATTTTCCAGCTACTGTTCTTCAAAACGTCTGCCAGAAGCTAAATTTTCCTCAACTTCCGCGTTTCCTTTCTTCTCTTTTCGTTTCGTTTTACGGGACATAAAGCGATAATTGAGCCAGCTTATGGGGGGTACGGTGATAAATGCTCGCTAATTTCACGCATCATCGGCTTTTATTAACGGCCACAGAGTGTCGTACGCGCGACGGAAAAAGAGCAAACGAAAAGTGTCAGACTGACGGAGAAATCAGTTTTACAGGGGCACCCAACCGGCGGCCATTGTGACCCGATCATTACACGCCGATGATTGCATTATATTAGCCATGCAACGGAGATCCTTTTGCCCACTGTTGATCCGTGTCATCGTGTTCCACGGCAGATGATGGGATAACCATACAGTTAGCCACTCGTTCCCTCCTCCTGTAACCCCCTCGTCTAATTTGGACTATGTTCGTTTCTCTTTTTGACTCGGTCCTTTTTTTTACGTCACGCTTTCTAAGCATTTGATCGTATTTAAATCGTATAATCGTATGCGTGTTCAGGTTCCGCTTTGAGGGACAATCGGTGGTTAAATTGAACAGAAGGTGAGCTTTGGTAATGATTAGCATATTAGTGGTCCACATGCGTTCATCTTTTTAATATCTTTATTTATACGAGTTTGAATAAGATCAGGTTTAATTGATGTTAACTCTTTAACTTTAAATTGATTAATAATTCATCTTAAAATTTGAAAATTGTGAAAAAACATTTAATACTGAATGGAAGATTGAGACATTTCAGAGGTGGATTTAATGGAACCATTTCGAAAGAAATTCCGATGCGTATCGAAACGGTTGACCCGACTGTGAAGCTCGGTAATGCGATGATCTTTCGGGGACAGTATTAATAAAACTCCATTGAGTCGTTACCTAATTCGAAAATCAATAAACAAGGCCAACAGATTATTTTATCCGCATGTAACAGTTTAATCTTAACATCTTCCATCCATTGTCTTAAAAACAAATAAAAATATTCAGCTTGCCAAAAATAACTCATTGATGATGTCTAAAAATTTGTATACAGGAGCCAGTTCGTGGGATCCCAGATGACCAGCCACTCTTAAACTCGTTGTTCACCGAGGAGGATCAACAAAGACTGCTCCAAACCAGAGAAAAAAAATGAAGGAAAATTCCAGGCGGCTGGATAATAGGCTAATTATAATTACCGTCGCGAGAGCCGCTACCTGCTATTCTCAGATCCGAGTTAAGCCGGAAACAGAGGGAGTTGAATGGATGATTAATAACGATGCTCTTCTCTGTCCGAAGACGCAAAAGAAGTTCACCGACGAGAGGACTACTAGGAGAAGCTAGAAGGACTCGAGACCAGTGGCGTAACTAGGTGGGGACCAGGGTCTGAGATAAAATCTCATGAAATTTATAAATTTCACAACTTTTAAATCTCAGTTGTCCAAATCAAATCTCTAATCTGAGAACTTCCATAAACTCAGTTATCAACTGCAAATTTTTAATTTTCCAAATCTCCAAATTCTCAAATCTCTAAACCTTCAAATCTATGAACTGTTGAATTTGCAAACTATTACAATTATAATTTAGAAGAGAAACCCTTGGGAGAAAGTCCTAGTTACGCCAGTGCTCTTATTTTAATATCTTTATTTATACGAGTTTGAATAAGATCAGGTTTAATTGATGTTAACTCTTTAACTTTAAATTGATTAATAATTCATCTTAAAATTTGAAAATTGTGAAAAAACATTTAATACTGAATGGAAGATTGAGACATTTCAGAGGTGGATTTAATGGAACCATTTCGAAAGAAATTCCGATGCGTATCGAAACGGTTGACCCGACTGTGAAGCTCGGTAATGCGATGATCTTTCGGGGACAGTATTAATAAAACTCCATTGAGTCGTTACCTAATTCGAAAATCAATAAACAAGGCCAACAGATTATTTTATCCGCATGTAACAGTTTAATCTTAACATCTTCCATCCATTGTCTTAAAAACAAATAAAAATATTCAGCTTGCCAAAAATAACTCATTGATGATGTCTAAAAATTTGTATACAGGAGCCAGTTCGTGGGATCCCAGATGACCAGCCACTCTTAAACTCGTTGTTCACCGAGGAGGATCAACAAAGACTGCTCCAAACCAGAGAAAAAAAATGAAGGAAAATTCCAGGCGGCTGGATAATAGGCTAATTATAATTACCGTCGCGAGAGCCGCTACCTGCTATTCTCAGATCCGAGTTAAGCCGGAAACAGAGGGAGTTGAATGGATGATTAATAACGATGCTCTTCTCTGTCCGAAGACGCAAAAGAAGTTCACCGACGAGAGGACTACTAGGAGAAGCTAGAAGGACTCGAGACCAGTGGCGTAACTAGGTGGGGACCAGGGTCTGAGATAAAATCTCATGAAATTTATAAATTTCACAACTTTTAAATCTCAGTTGTCCAAATCAAATCTCTAATCTGAGAACTTCCATAAACTCAGTTATCAACTGCAAATTTTTAATTTTCCAAATCTCCAAATTCTCAAATCTCTAAACCTTCAAATCTATGAACTGTTGAATTTGCAAACTATTACAATTATAATTTAGAAGAGAAACCCTTGGGAGAAAGTCCTAGTTACGCCAGTGCTCTTAGAACGTCAAAAAGTCGAACATGGTCGATCATCGATGAGGAATCCGCGTTCCCGGTGTTACACACCCTTCACGTCCCTGTGAAACTATTTCATTGACCAAATTTAACGCTAATACTGTCCAAATACGACAGCCGGCTTTGTTGGGTCCCCCATAAAGGAGCCTTCGTGGCCCAAACGCACAGCTGCCTTCGATTCGTAGGACCCCGACAAACAGGCTTAACTTTCTATCCTCTTTCGTACTATCAGTCATTCGGCATAGTAAGGAGAGAGGAAAAGAGAGAGGAGACTACAGGTTCGAACATTATGTGTCGGTCCATTCACACCGTGGATATCTGGTGCCCGGTGGCGACGTTTACTCTACTCAAAATCTGCTTTTACCTCGCTTTGCATGCGCTTATCATTTGTCAAGCTTCTTCTTCGTCTTCGTGTGATAGACGGGTGAACTTCTCGCGAGTGAAGAGAGATTCATTTATCACCGATCCGTAAAATAAGGAAGTTTCTGACCGAACGTGGAGGGAACACAGTTTTTCCCGCTGCTCTATCTTGTTCAGCCTTGTACTACAGCTTGCGATAGCTTTTGGAAATTTTGTCGCTCAGTAAGAAAGTTAATGTGAAAATTATTCTGATGGGTCTGATTCGAAAGACTAATTTTTTACTCGATGCAAGGTTTAAAATGCCTCCATATTTCTCGAAAAATGTCTTTATTTCAATGAATGTCGGTAGAAGAGTCTCCTTAACCCTCTTTTTCTCGTTCTCCCGTAAAATTTGATGGTAAATCACGTATTCGAGAAGGGCCACCCTCGCGACGCCTACAACGAAAGATTTGAATTGTCCGGAATCACGCCGCCAACCCTCTTTATCCCTCGTGTTACTACACACGCCAGCATTTGCATATTTCAGTCAGACTATCGTGAACGACCATGTTTACTTCGTTCTCGATCTCGTTTATTTTTACATTCATTTTGCGCCGTACACTCCTTTTTTCTCCGTTGAAACAACATCAACAGCGCTACATCTTCTCGAGAAAATGCATTCGTTGTTGATATTCCGTCCAAGTACGCTCGTGAATGAAATTGTCTCGTTTTAATCTTTCCGCCGTTTCACGCCGTTTAATTTTGTGTACAGGTAGTTTTTTAATACGGATAAATAGTTCTTAATAATTTAACTATCTGTATCAAAAAATTTTAAACGAAAAAGAGAGATAAAAAGCGCTTTATGAGCTTCATTCCAAATACGATGAGCGAATATTAGTCGGTCGGGAACGCAGCACTTTTCTGTCGCGAGTTTAGCACGTGTAAATTCCAATATTTAACCGATCACATTAACCTCTAATGCGCCACGATGGACTAATGAAAATTGTATGCAAAACTGTCGGATTCTCATCGACGGGAAGAGTATCGCGCTCGCGTAATTACCAAACGAATAACTCTTACGCTAAATACTAATTACGAAACAAATTACTTGCGCACCGTCATAAAGAAAACATTAATAGCTAAATATTTGCATAATATACTATCGAGAACCGGTTTGAAACGATATACAAAGCGCGTATCGATCGACGTACCGAACGTGGCCGGCTACTTCGCACGAATTTATTGCTATATTAGCGTGAATGTTAATAAAGCACCACGTAATTGTTTGCACGATCCTTCAATCGAAATTGATTCAGGACCGATCGTTTGTCGGGCTCGTTTTCATAAACGGCGCATCCTGCGGACAGAAAATCGATCCGAATATCGCATTGAATCCCGCATAATTTGCTGAATTTCTTAGCTCGCTATAGAAATTTAATTCTTTCAAATTACTGTTATAAAAGGAAGATCACAGCGCTTATTCAGTTATTCAAAATTCCACATCTCTATCGTTCTGTTCTTTTTTCCAACTATAATTTGGAAATCAAAATTTTACTGTGACTTTTCAAATCGGTAGATGCTCTGTCACTTAGCCGTTTAATTTCTCACAACTTTTCATACTCCGGAACCGGCAAATTTTTTCTAGTAGCGCAATGGTTTCGCAAAAGCGAATCAGTTCGAGGCTCGTGGAAATAAAACGTATCTGGAAAGCGGACTGCTCCTAATTGTCCGTCGACGATCCTCCCTAAGCGGGTGCAATAAGTAACGCCGTCGCTGGCCTAAAGATGAGGTCCAATGCATCAATGTCATCGCGAACAACATTGTTCCCGGTACGAGCGAGGACTTTACCTCTAACGACGTATTTATGGCGTCAAGTTGCGGCTTAAATAATAACCAGTCGATGATGGATGGTACGGGCCACGCACGCAGAAAATCGACATCATTATTGTTGTTAGGGGTTTTGTAACATCCAGCCAAGATATTTTCTCGATCGGCAACAATTGTGCCCGGACGTGAGCTACGAGTCGCGGCAGATGCGTATAATCTCTCTTGTATTAACGATACCTCGATCCTGGCCCTATCGCTTTATCTCGCAAATCAGCCCTGGGAACAAAGTGGCGTCATTGATTATTTTCTTTCTCTTTCTTCTTTTTTGCAGGGTTCGATTTTGGGACTCAAGATCGGTCGAATCTGGGAACGTTCAAACTTCGGATTTTTTACTCCTAAGATGTAATACTGAATGTGAAGCAAAAGAGGACTCAGAACATAATTTTGAGGTAATTTTAGATCTTCATGAATGATGGATAAAGGTGTAATTCGGAATAATTAGCTGCATAAGTGCCCTTATCGGGATCGTGTTAATCGCGAGTTGTAAATTCATGTTCCGTTCGATCACCGAAAATTGTACCGAGAGTAATTGATTGAAGTATAATTTTAAAGGTAATTTCTTGATTATAGATATGCGTGTCGCTATCGGGAGCAATAACAGAGATCATGAAAAGCGTTTTCCCGGTGCGAATACAATTTGCGATATTTACGTAGAGTGTATCGGTTTATTAGAGATAATACGCATTGCAGATAACATAGATTTTCTGTTTCACATTTAAATGGAACGATAAGCCGCGATTTATTCTTTTATTACGCGTTATAAAACCCTCACTGACGTTTCAACGAAGACAGAAATTCAAACTGCATTTAGTATTTGAAAATGTTTCATTATAAGACCATACATAATCCATATTAATTACATATATACATAATCTGTATTAATTTAATAGCCTGAAATTAATTGTTACTGATACGAGATCGTATGTTCCAGGGACAAGAAATTCTAACATGGCGGAAATGATGAACCCTAGGAATTTTATCCTGGATAGATGATGAACGCCATAGAAATTCCAGCATTGACACTACAAAGTAACCTTACACAGGTGTTGAGAAATTTAGAGATTGTAGAAATACCTTATCATAAATGATAAAGATTTAGAGGGTCTTAAAGGATCATTTGCCCAAAAAGGGTTCGACAAAGTATAGGGTCCCGAATAAATCACGAAAGGGCTGAAAGTAACTCTCAGTTGAAGATCGACAAATTGCCAGACACTCCAGTACATATCTCGAATAATTTTGATGTTCAGAACGTCTAAGGAAATGGACATGTACATTGTACGCGATGTTCCGCCACCGGCTCCGCATCCTGTCCGCATTTTTCGGACTAGGACAAACGACCCACGCGCTTTTCACGATTCTCCTTATACCCTCCTCGATTGAAAGGGCCTTCGTGCACCGACAATAGGTTAAAGCGTCAAATTAGGCGGTGCAGGTCAACTGGATGGGCGTCCCTTCGCCTGTTCGCCGCCGACGTGTCGGCTGAATTCTCCGACGTTGAACGGGGGCCACCGGATTCACGGCCCCGGATATAGGGTTGCCTTCTATAATGCCATAATACAAATAAGTCAGTCAGTCAGTCAGTCAGTTGGTACCCCGTCGCGTATACCCTATGGTCTATTATGGTTCTTGATCTCCAACCATTATGCGTCTACCTTTCTCTCCCTCAATTGTTGCCTGCAAAGTCATTCGAGCCAAGCATAGAGAACCTATTCGTCCCCACTATTTTTTCCTCTATCGTGTTCCATCCTTTACAGTGTCATGGTGTTTCGTTATCTGGCTGTCTTCGTCGAGATTTGGATGCTCTTTTTGGTACACACTTTTAACACCATCCTTCTTCACCCCCGCTTTTACGAGTCGGATATTCCTTTTTTTGGGTAGACCGCAGACAACTTGCTGTTTTTTTAGGGATATCTTTTTGTGGATTAGGAGGATTTGGAGTTCTGTCATTAATTACTCGGACGTACATGCATGATTGTATGATGGTTTTAATATCGGTATTCGGGATTTTGGTGTAGAGTTGAAAGTGAAATGATACTGTGTCGTACTTGTCATTCCTGTTGCTACAACTTTCTAATTCAAAAGGACAATTTTCGACAATGAGATGTAGCTTCTTAGTTACGCCAAAACCTTTTTACGTAAAATGATATATGTCTGTCTGTTTTTTTACAAGCACATTTTATTCGCATTAAGATGAATAGACAAAAGTTATAAAAGAGCAATTGAAATAATTGTACAACGATCCTCCATGAAACTGTGATTAAAATCAAATTACACGTCTGAAGCCTTTGAACGTACGTGCAGAATTTAGAAGCTTTTGTGATTGTAACGACTAGCATGCTTTCGTTTATTGACTCCAATTCGTCTGTTGGTTGAAACGTATCCCAATGGCAGCAACCAGTAGGGTACAAAATAGACTAACAATAAGCTTGTCTCCCTTCCTTTGACCGTGTACAGTCCTTCCCTCCCCCTTGTGCAAATAGATCGAAATATTTATTTGAAAAGTCACGGTGAGATGGGAACTAGTTTGAGCAAATTTCAAACAGCTTTACCAAAACGTATCGAATTGCGATCGTTACATGACATCTGATTTACCTTTGTCAAATTTATAATTGTTATTAATCTATGAATTAAAATTGTTATTTTGCATTAATTGGATTTTTATTGCTCTTTTCAGATTCGGATTCACGGCCCCGGATATAGGGTTGCCTTCTATAATGCCATAATACAAATAAGTCAGTCAGTCAGTCAGTCAGTTGGTACCCCGTCGCGTATACCCTATGGTCTATTATGGTTCTTGATCTCCAACCATTATGCGTCTACCTTTCTCTCCCTCAATTGTTGCCTGCAAAGTCATTCGAGCCAAGCATAGAGAACCTATTCGTCCCCACTATTTTTTCCTCTATCGTGTTCCATCCTTTACAGTGTCATGGTGTTTCGTTATCTGGCTGTCTTCGTCGAGATTTGGATGCTCTTTTTGGTACACACTTTTAACACCATCCTTCTTCACCCCCGCTTTTACGAGTCGGATATTCCTTTTTTTGGGTAGACCGCAGACAACTTGCTGTTTTTTTAGGGATATCTTTTTGTGGATTAGGAGGATTTGGAGTTCTGTCATTAATTACTCGGACGTACATGCATGATTGTATGATGGTTTTAATATCGGTATTCGGGATTTTGGTGTAGAGTTGAAAGTGAAATGATACTGTGTCGTACTTGTCATTCCTGTTGCTACAACTTTCTAATTCAAAAGGACAATTTTCGACAATGAGATGTAGCTTCTTAGTTACGCCAAAACCTTTTTACGTAAAATGATATATGTCTGTCTGTTTTTTTACAAGCACATTTTATTCGCATTAAGATGAATAGACAAAAGTTATAAAAGAGCAATTGAAATAATTGTACAACGATCCTCCATGAAACTGTGATTAAAATCAAATTACACGTCTGAAGCCTTTGAACGTACGTGCAGAATTTAGAAGCTTTTGTGATTGTAACGACTAGCATGCTTTCGTTTATTGACTCCAATTCGTCTGTTGGTTGAAACGTATCCCAATGGCAGCAACCAGTAGGGTACAAAATAGACTAACAATAAGCTTGTCTCCCTTCCTTTGACCGTGTACAGTCCTTCCCTCCCCCTTGTGCAAATAGATCGAAATATTTATTTGAAAAGTCACGGTGAGATGGGAACTAGTTTGAGCAAATTTCAAACAGCTTTACCAAAACGTATCGAATTGCGATCGTTACATGACATCTGATTTACCTTTGTCAAATTTATAATTGTTATTAATCTATGAATTAAAATTGTTATTTTGCATTAATTGGATTTTTATTGCTCTTTTCAGATTTGGAACCTGCTCTGAAATATAAAACGTATTGACGTAACCAAATTCTTCAAACGCAGCACAAAGGAAACGGGAAATAAATAAATAAATTTGTGTAAAACAAGAGCGACACGGAGAAAGAAAATTTATAGTTTTCGGATGAAGAAGCCAAGTCATTCGTTTGCGATATACCTCGCAGCACTTGCCGACTAGTTATGCTAACAGCTGGCCATCCCCAAGGGACCGTTCTACTTCGTTTAACATCCGACGAAGACAACTATGTGTCATCGTTGTCGCCGCTCGCTAATTGAATATCGCACCCTTATATGGCCCCGTTTTCATTTTGCCGCGATGCTGCTGCTGCTTTTAAGTAAAATTTCATTTCCATAGAGCGACGTTCGCGAGCGGAGCACTAGTCGTTTTGTTTACGATCGAAACGAGGTACAGCAATCGTTTCAATTAGTTAATTGAGAGACGACAAGGAATGAATGAAGCGCATAGTGCATCCAGAACGTTAATCGACCAGTTTGTTTGTTCGAGAATGTATCTTTATTGCATCAAGAATTACTTTATGAAATTGAAACAAGATTAAGTGTGTGGGCGACGATGATTTAAGGATGATAACATAAATATATATTCCAGTTAAGTACACAACGTGCACGAAATTCAGTGACTATCTAGGTATTGTAGCATACCTAGATATCTTTAAGTACGCTATATTAGCTACATGTACTTGATCAACTTAATTACTATAATATTGCAAATCAGAAACATCTGCATGATAAATTGCAGCTTGGAAATCTTAATAGATAATCGGTGATTAACTAGCTGACCATTGCAATCGAAACACTATAGTAGAAGAAAAGAAAGAAAAAAAAAGAGCGGAAGGTTTCGCATAATCTAACTGTGAGGTGAACGAGTGAACAGAATCGAGTAGAGTGAAGCGACGCCGGGTAAGGCCATAAACAAGTGCTTACCGCAATCTAATGCGTCTGTAATTGCTCGAGCACCAGTATCTTCCCCAACGGTCCCACTTGCTCCCGCGATTTAATTACTATGTAAATGTCGCATTCCCTAAACTGTCCGTTTTCCACCCTCCCCACTACCCCTCCACCCTCCTTACCCTACCCTTTTCCTGGCTGTCGCCCGATGTCCTTAATTACTTTATACGTTATTATAGCCCACCAACTACTGTCGACCGTACTCACTCCATCCCGACAGCCTTGCACGTTTCACTCCATTCCGTTCTGTTCGTTCAGCCATATTGTTACTGGCTTAAACGATGCAACCTCTTTAACATTAACATTCTTCTCGTGCGAATCGCGTACATGATTTTGCATGACAATGGAAATTCTATATCCAATTCTGTTACGATTGAGGAAGCCTAGAAAGGTCCTAGATGAATTTTGAGGAAGAATATATGGAAGTCTTAGGAAGAGATTAGAGAGTACCCTAGGACCACTGATTCCATTTTAAATTCTTACAATTTTATGAATCTTGAAGGAATCCTTGAAGGTGAGATTGCTTTTGAATATTTAAACGCTATTAGCAAACGAGTAGGATACTAATGTCCGGACAAAAATTAGAATATTCAGAAGAGGTAATCGTCAATTGATTTTCAATGAGAGAATCGTCAACGTGACAAATCGTGGGGAGTTTATCCATCGTGGTCGAAGACAAATCGACGTAGCGGAGCTTGAGAAGCGGAGGACCCTCTCTTACGTACATTGGCGGCTGACAAACTGGTCAAAGCCCTCTTACAACCCTCTCGACTGCCAAATTATCGGACTCCTGTGGACAGCAAACCCATTTATACTGACCACCGTCCAAGACGTACTAGGGACACGGATAAAGAGAATTGTACGAGCTGAAGTGATAGCAATTGACCACCTAAACAATGTTACTGAACTATACATATGCGGAATGAAATCATATACAAATTATCATTGTTAAAACACATCAAGTGTCTACACTATTAAATGATTTTAAACAATACAAAACCAAGACTCTTTCGGGTTATTATATCTTTATTATATATTTGTAAAAATATATACGAAATACTGTAGAAAATATTAATTATATTTATGTAGGCCTAAATTAAATAAAAACTAAAATCTGTATGCATAGAGAACCCTATACTATAATACACTATAAGCGCCATCTCGAAAAGTGAGCGTTAACTATAACACGAAAACTATCTTATCGACATATTAAAATTGTGTAACATTTTTAAACAAAACAATTTGTTTGTATATATCTATATTTAAAAAATCTCTGAGTATGTAATATTATTGATTTTTACATCGCTAGCAAACTGACTCAGTAGAAAAAATTATTATAGTCTCTTTATTGATACAAAAAGACTTAGAGGGCGCCTTTTGCTGTAATAAACGTCATGTTACTTTGCTATAATGTAGCGGTAGAACACCGTTTCTAGCAAAAAATTTCATTGACGGCTAAGTGTTTACAAAAGTTTAACATTTCTGATCATCGGCAGAAATGTCACTTCATGTTAGTTTTTGTACATTAATGTGAAAAGCTTTAATATCAAAATTCACGGATACTGTCTTGATAACGAAGCAGCAAGGGTGGAAAAAGAGTTAGTCCCCGTTAAATCCAGTGGTTTGCCTATAACTATGCTAATTGGTGAAAATATATATTCAGATTAGAATTTGCAATTACATGAACTACACATTTCTATAAAAACATACATGTCTGATTTTAAACTATTAACTTAATCATAGATTATTTATTTTCTTCATAACCTTAGCATAAGCATGAATTCAAGTAATTAAATGACTTTCTTTTTATTTCAAAGGTTGAAGCTGAGCAGTGTCTTGTATTCTAGAGATTGTCATTGAAGAAGTATTGCAATACCTCAATAAACATGTCTGATAAAGTACCTTTACATTACACTTGCATGAAAGATCTGTTGCTGAAGGCTAAAATTAATTTCTATCATAAAAAGCCAACTGATATTTACAAAAGATTGCCTGATATGTATAATATGGCAGAAAATGCTAAGCGACTTGGAGATGAGGAGAAACAATTCATCATGTTAAGGAGATGGCTAGATTGCATAGAATGGTTGAAAAGTACACAGGAATATAAAGACGACAAAGCGTCCACCTTATCGAATATGCATGTCAATCAGGTGGGAAGTGGCGTATGCTTTATTAAACTTATCGTTCACAGATAAAGGTATTCTAAATGTGAAGTTTTGAGGTGTTATTTTAAAGCTGATATTCAGTGCTCTACTTCAGTGCTTATATGAACAGATAAAATATACAAATGTTCCTTATAGATCAATGAAGTAAGAAAAATACTTGCAGTCTTGAACCGAAGATTAGATGCAAGATATAAACAACAGACAAAGCCAAAATTGGAGAAAAGTAACAGTGTGGAGGAAATGGACATAGACAATGAAATAGGAATTGATGCTTATATGTCTCCAGTTGATGGACCTATAAAATTGCCTGAAACACCAACTAGAGATCCATTGGTTGATGATAATGAAGAAATTATAAATTGTGATCAGCTGTTTCAGTTGATGCAAAAAGATGGTGATGGTAGATACTTGATCATTGATATTAGACTCAAGTCTCAATATGAGGCCTCAAGGATAATGTCTGATAAAATTGTTAACATTCCGAATACTGAAATAAAAATAGGGTAGGTAAATACATAGAAAATAATGTTATATCTTTAACTCTGTTTGAGTTTCATCAATGTTTTCATTTCAGTGCATTAACAACGCATTTTGAACATTACCTCCATAAAGATAAGAAAGCTTTATATTTATTTAGACACAGGGGAGCTCAGTATGTGGATGTCATAATTTTACTTGATTGGAATACGTCAAGCAAAACATTAACACCAGATAATCATTTAAATAAATTGAGAAAAATTTTTGAAGATTGGGATCCTGGTATAAAATATAAAAAAATTACTATCTTAAATGGTGGCTATGCAGAATGGCTGACACGTTACCCAGCATTCACAACAAATCCTAAGATAGCAGAGCCTACTTTGAACAGTGTTCCAGACGAGATATTAGATAACATAGACTATCCTGAATGGATACATCTGGAAGAGGAAGAGAATTCTAAATTACGTGATCATAAAACGACGAATTTAAAGGTTGTAAATAAAGAGAAAAGTACATTAAAAGTCAATGTTTCAAATGAAGAATTGTGGCATAAGCATATAGATTCAGAGATAGGTGCTAACATTTCTTTGCAGTCTAACAACTTGATGAATTCTTCTATTGATACTGACAAAATACCTAAAGCTAGTACAATTTTAAGGCAGTACGATAATAATTCATTAAAAGTACAACATAGAAGGTCGTTAAATATTACAAAAAAGAATGACCTATCTGTGAAACCAACCGTAGATAGAAGTAACAAACCAGTTTCTATGAATACAACTATGATTGAGTCAAAACCGGTGCTGAAATTAATGAGAGAGTTGAACGAACTTGCCAAGAGTAAGCAAGGTTTAGAAGAAGACATTTTGGAAGAGGAACGTGCTTTATACATGCAAGATGGCACCAAATATAAAAGTTCAAATGAAGAAGAATATATTCGTGGTAATTTGAAGAATCTCTACATGAAGTTAGAAGAGAAGGTAAAAAATACTAAAAGTTAATTTATGCCTTGAGTGTAATATATATGGTACTAAGTAATTTTCATTTTATATAATAGCAAAATGATTATAAAAAATTGGAAAATGAACTTACTAAATACCACATGAAAGAAGAACCGATTAAATTAAATGCGACAGAAGAAAATGAAAAGGGTAACTTAGAGTTTAGTCTTGCTTTGTTAAAACACCGCATCAAAGATATATCTGCAGAAAGGACGAAAGTACGAGAGTAAGTATTACATCAAATTTAAATGACTATTCTTATCTATATTCTATAAACGTATTCGTTAATTTTTTAGGAAAGCTACGAAGAATAATTATAAAGATTTGTCCACAAAGGAAAATGAAAGTACAATTCACAAGGAACCCTTAAAAATGAATAATAATAATTCAATAGGTGGTAGTTTAGAACGATCGTATTCCAGTCCCAACTTATTACAGGTACATTTCTTTCAATTTATGCAGCTTATCGTTACAAAAGATGTATTTATAAAACGTTATTTTCATTAATTAGTTGATAGATCGGAAAGCACCGCAAATAGACAGGAGTTCAAAGCCGCAGGTATCATCGTACAATCAAAATGGAACTTATACCGACAATAAAACGTCTCATTTAAATTGGGCGAATCGCGAAGAAAGAATGACACCTGTTCATGGAAGTGTTGTAAGTATCACTATTATAAGCTTTTATGCATAAAATATTAATCACCGTTGGCATCCACGTGGATGTTTGGAAGTACCAAATAAGCAAGATTTAAACACGCATTATTTATCAATTCTACGTGATATATATATATGAAGAAAGAAAGTTTTGTATGTCTATGGCTTCTCAATCCAATTTATTCGAACCTTTCCGGAACAATGGATCGCGATATATGCATTAGTATTTATCCGACTATCGTCACCAAATGTTGTGTGACGTCCGCCGTTACTTCACGTAACTTTTTAATTGGAAGCTAACTACATAAATCAATAGCTCTGTAAATACGTTTAATAAATAATAATAATATTCATCATAATGTAGAAAGTTCAGTGATACTCAACCAATCGATTATGTACTTTTGAAACACGTGGATGAATGTGATTCTCCTGCTTTATGATTAAATAAGTTGTAAACAAATGATGGTTAACTTGTCTAGAAAATTTGGGCCAAATTTTAAAGTGTACTATTTTAAAAAGGTAATCTGTGAATACAGGGAAGAAACAGATTTTTATAAACTTCATTGCATAGAAAGAAATTGTTGCTCCACATATAATATGTTCAGTGACCAACTAATGTGATTAATGTATGGTACTTAAAGTACTTGAATTTCCTAATCAAAGTACACAAAGCATTCAGTATGTTGACTTCTATTACAGCATCCAGGAATTACAGGATTAAAAAATTTGGGCAATTCGTGTTATATGAACAGTATTATACAGTGTTTAAGTAACACTACGCACCTAGCGAAATATTTTATGGACAATTTGTACACCGACGATCTTAATACAAGCAACGACAATACCACTCAGGGTCAGGTTGTTCAAGAGGTAGCTCAAGTAATTAAAGCACTTTGGAGAGGACAGTATAAGAGTATATCTCCTCTTGATCTTAAGGTAATCCTGTAGATATTTCCATGGGTATTTTAATGAATTTCTATGCACTAAATTATGAATTATAATTGATAGATCGTTGTGGGACAATACAAACTACAATTTGAAAGTTACGAGCAACAAGATTCTCATGAATTTCTGACTTTCCTTTTGGATTGGATGCACAATGATCTAAAGAAGGTATAGTTTCATTCAATTAAAATACTTTTGACCGCTAGATTAGATTTCTTATTTTCATTTTACACTTTTAGAGTTGTAAAGTACCATCTGACTTGACGGTCGCTGAAAAAGCTTGGGACAAAGCTATGGAATCCCAAAAATCCATTATATCTGATTTGTTCTTTGGACAGCTAAGATCCACTATTACGTGTAGCTTTTGTAAACAAAGTAGTACTACATATGAAACTTTTAATAGCTTGACTATGTCATTACCTCATGCCAACCGGTGTACATTAAATGTAAGTCTTCAGTTTCTAACCGTATGTTATATGTATAGATATTACAGCATGTATTTTGTTAATCCTACAATTAGCTGATTGATTCGATTTCCAGGACTGTATTTTGAAGTTTGTAAGTGGTCAGAAGGTAATTGGTTGGAAATGCCCAAAATGTCAGACGTCTCGAGAAGCAACGAAGAAATTTGATTTCGTTAAGTTAGCACCTATTATAGTGATACATTTAAATCGTTTCGCTGAAAGCGGTGGATGGCTTGAAAAGAGAAATACCGGAGTCGATTTCCCTCTCACAGGTTTTAATTTGAAACCATACGTGGTACTGGACAGTAATACCATTCCAAATATTCGTAATTACAGTTATAGTTTATATGCAATGTCGAATCATTACGGAACCATGGAAGGTGGTCATTATACGGCTTTCTGTAAGAATGCCGCTCAAAACAAGTAAGTAAATAGACTGAAACCTACTTTTAAATTGTAACAAGATTCACATTTTAAATATTAACAAAAATAAAATAATGATATTAAATGTATTGTTTGTCTAGATGGTACAAATACGATGACCAAACAGTCACAGAAGTTACAGTAAATCACGTAAAATCTCAGAATACCAGTGCCTACCTTTTATTTTATACATCATTTTCGAGCAATATTATTTAGTATTAATTGAAAGAATCATTAAATACGGCTGACACGCAAAATCATTACTTAAATAGTCATTAATGGTCTGTAACAATGTAGATATTAAATATTTTTTGTATGTATAAAATATGTTATGAGACGTACGTATAAGACTACGACGGTATTGAAGACTTTATTGGTGCTGGGATATACGCTAATAATATGTAAATAAATAAACATTAGGCCGGAATTGTATTTCGGTACTTTATTGAAAATATATATTGCACGGTAGATGAGAGATTACTTCAACAAATGCATTGCAAAAATATATCTAGCCCACACTGCATTCTGCAAGGTATGTTAATAATGTATTTTAGTAACAATTTCCATTCTGTATCTTTATACGTTGTGATATCATATTTGTTTATTTTCTATGCGTTCTTGCATACAAACGTAATAAACTTTATCTAACGTAACTTCTTTATCAACAACTTGTACATCACTGTTTTTGCTGATTCGTATGTTATACAATCGTAAGTTGTAATCTTTCAAGTTATCTCAAGGAAAAGCACACTGATATTTTATGTTACTATTTTACAACTCTGCAACTTATATTGTGAACGAATGAAACACAACGACATATTATATATACATAATATAAACAAGATTATTTCAATAAAAAATATTAATGTTTTTGAAAAACATTTAAGTGATCATATTCTTTATAATACGATAATTTGATAAATTTTGAACAAGAATTTATATAAAGATAAAAATGTTGTGTTCAGATAGTGTTAGTGTTTGCGAGATTATTGTTAAAAATTGTACAACATTATTTGGACTCGAATGCCTTTATAAAGTGCCATCACTAGTCTGCTTATTTTGTACATGAAATAAAAATTTTCAAACTTGTAAAGTCATGAAGACTTCTCTTTATTTGCGACTAAATACATTATTCTTCTTTCAAGGAACAATTCATAGACATGAGATATTTTTATTTATTTTGAAATTATGTTTATCCTAATCATAATTATTTACTTTCATAATATTAATATATATTGCTATAATAAGCATTTACGTAACTAGGATTTTTTCCTAGAGTAGTTCAGGTTCTCTAACTTCATTTATAACGGTAACGATCCTCATAAGCGGCTTTTGGAAATTGAGAAATTTTGAGAATTTCGGAGATGGAAAATTAAAAATGTAGGAATTTAAGAATCTCAAAGTGTTTAATATACTATATCCTAGGTCTTACGTTCTTCGCGCTAAATTAGAAGGATAGGAATGTTAATCCGTACTTTAAAGAGGGGTAGGTACACCCTGGTCCCTACCTAGTTACGCCAATTATAAAGAAAGCTCGTATTACATACCAACAATTCCCAATAACTTAATTTTTATGATTACCGATTTTCCAACTGAATATCAAGTACTAACGATTGGTCTCCTTCGCTTTTCAAACTTTGTCGAAATAGTTGAGCATGTTGCCACGCACAGTCACCTTGACCACCGGAAACTGTGGCCGTAAGAATCAATTTTATCGATCCCTTCAACTTATCTGTATAATAGTTGGTACAATCATCGACAGGAAAAACAGCCGATTTATTTTGGTCCACTTTATCAAAAAACGCTTCTACTTCCCACGATACATTAGCCTCGAAGAATGTTTTTACCGCAGCTTTTAAACTAATGGTCTTTATACATAAATTTGGATTCGATACTACAAAGTTCCATTGTATCTTGCCACGACTAGTTCCTGGAGAACGGACTAAATATACCATTTTCCAATCATGTTCTACTTTGCGGAATATTCCACCTTGTAACTCATATACTCCATTGTGCCACCCAGATATTTCTTCTATTACTTTACTATCATTATTTGTTACCTTATACCTATCCTCAACAATTGAATAACGTAAGTGGAATGTATCGCCATACTTGGAAATATCCCAAGAATAGTTTGCTTTTGGGCTTGCCTGAAATATGAAAATACGAAACGATATGTATTTATACGATAAGATTTACAGATCTAAGAAATAAATATCATACTTGAGAAATTTCTCCTCGAGCTAATTTCCATTCATAGGAACCAGTGGATCTTTCTTGATAATTATCATCATCGTCAGAATTTTGTCCTTTGGGCATATGTAATAATTCGACGAGTTCCATTAGCTTTCGTTTTGTTACATACTGCTTACGAGAGGCATTGTAGTTCGCGGAAGACTGACGATACTTATTTAACGACTCAATAAATTGTAATAATTTAGTTTCAGAACAAAGTTTTCTTCTCTTTAATACACCTGATAGGTCTCGCGTGTATCGCCAAGTAACATCTTGTACTTCATCCTTTGAAAACGCAATTACATAAGTTAATTTCTTTTTCCAGCCTTTTTCATACATTAGAGGTCGATCCATAATATCTTCGCACGGATCTACGTGAATCCATCGTTGTTCGCGTATGGACCATACCTAAAAAATTAATATACTGTTGTTGATTTGATTTTTTTCAATGATAATCGTTAATGATTATAAAAGTAATTAACATTTCTGTATGAGTGAGATAATGAGTACCTTTGAATATACTTTTCATTAATATAAGGGCAGTGGTCATTACACACCTCTGTCCAAACGTGATCTGTTTCATCATGTACATATCTTGCATCATATCCTAATGTTCTACAGAACAGTGTGAATACATTAGCCCATTCACCACAACGTCCACGTCTTGAGATTAACAATTGTTCTGGATCACAATAACGTGGAAATTGAACCAGTGTATCACAGTTGGTACATCTAAAGTACATTTGGTGAATTTGTTATTATTCAAAATAATTTTCTAATTAATTCAATCAATTATGGAAATACATTTAATTACCTTTGTACTTCAATTCTTGACATTGTAGGGTCATCAGATTTTATTACCTCTAGATATTTACATTCTGAGGAACATGCAGTACATTTCAAGCCATCAACCCATGTAAAGAATTCATATTTAAACCAATGTAAAAGTTCCATAAGAAACAACTCTTTTACATCTTCTATGTCATCCTCAGTGTATTGCTTTTTGGCAGTCTTTTCTGTTTGAGCTATTTTGGCATGCCTATGTAAAAAATTCAATGCATAAAATACATTGTAAAATATATTATATTGCAAGCATATTATCATACAAAATATAATTACTTTTGCAATTCCCTAATTCTTTTCATGGTTGCAACTTCAAGCTCCATAATTGGTATTACTTTTCTAGCTTTTTCTTGAAGTCCTTCATCTTCATATCGTAGGACATGTTGAAAATTTGTTATAATTCCCATTAAAAAGTCTTTCTCTTTTTTATTACATGTTGCAGGTAACAAGTCATAAATTGCTGAATTCCTAACAGTACGTGCTCGTGCAGGATTAATTTTGATAGCATTTTTTGCAAGGAAACTTTCCAATGTTTGTAGTTTTGTGAGAGATACCTCTTGTGGTAATAAGAGATAGTCTGTAGCCTGTTAAATGAAGTAAAATAAAAATCTGTACAGTTACCTTAAAATATAATATAATTACCTCCACAAAACCAATGTCAAACAGACATTCCATGGCACCAGTAGCTGGAAGCAATTTTTGAATAACTACAGGATCATCGAGCAACACCTTTCGATACTGTTTGTCATTTGGATGTGATAAAATATTTTGACAGATGGTTAACAACGCATTCTCGGCACCATTTCGTATCTCGTCTTCATTTTCTTTTAACAGTTCTAAACATTGTTGCAAACTCTTATCCATAATTATATCGAGTAAAGGATTAACAAAGATGACACGTGTAAATTCACACGAAGTACGTTAACTCATCAAGCGTGATAAAACAAGAAACTACGTAATAGATGGAACAAATATTCTACTGAATATTCAATGAGTCTGTATCCTGTTATGGTAAGGAGGACATTATGCATATGTGCATTTACATAATAAAAATAATAGGTTTATTGCAATCACAAATAGGGAGGTACATCAGACCAGGTACAGAATACACCCAAGCAGGTATATTTTATCTGCAATTTGACAACTAGGTTCTCACTAGATTCTTTTTGGATTTTCTCTAGAATCTTCCAGTTTCCTTAGATTTTTCCTGAGCTTTCTTAGGTTCTTGGCATATATTTGATTCTGTCTAGGTTCTTCTGAATTAAAAATTCTCTTCTACATTTGCTTTTAATTGCGAGAAGCATATATTGTACTCGAAATACCACTACACATACAAAATTATGGGCGCTACTTTGTATGTCTCTGCAGAAGCGCTTGCTTCGCCATCTATTTATATAGATATATAGGTCTCTAGAACTTACCATCTTAAAATTTATACGCAGTATTCGTTCTATTCGTTTTCTAGATAGTAGCGCTTATGTCAGTTTATATTATTTGACACACAAATAAACCACGTGTATAAAACGTTGAGTGTTTTGTGATACACGAATTGAAATAATTGTATCGTATCTACGTTGAGAGCAACGTGTTTTTCATTGAATAATACCTCTTAATAAAAAAACTATTAACGATGTTCAATCAAAGCGGAGGCCTACGAACTGGTACTTCGACATCATCTAATCCAATGCAGGATTTTGAGGTTGTTTCTCCTCCGGATGATTCTATCTCTAGTCTTGCATTTAGTCCTGCATCTATTCCACAAAATTTTCTTGTCGCCGGTTCGTGGGATTGCAATGTTCGCTGTTGGGAAGTTGAACAATCTGGAAAAACAGTTCCTAAATCAATGCAATCTATGGCAGCTCCAGTGCTTGATGTTTGTTGGAGCGATGTAAGTTTACTTTCTTTATAGCAAACGTTGCTAAGAATAACACTATTGCAATAAGTTTTTAAAAATGTATAATGCGTTTGCCTAATATAGGATGGGACAAAAGTATTCATGGCATCTTGTGACAAAACAGCAAAATGTTGGGACTTAGCTTCAAATCAGAGCATTCAAGTAGCAGCTCATGATGCACCTATTAAAACTTGCCATTGGATCAAAGCAAGTACATATTCATGCCTTATGACAGGTTCCTGGGACAAAACATTAAGAGTGGGTTTTTATTCATTTACTGCAATCCTCTTTTGTAATCTTCAAATATTAATAATTAAATTCTTCACAGTTTTGGGATTTACGAAGTCCTAAGCCAGCAATGACTATAAATTTAATCGAGAGATGTTACTGTGCTGATGTTGTAAGTACATACAGCTATCATTTTAGAACATAATTAATGTTTCAACTATATGTAATGGTTAAAACTAAAACGTTTAATTGCTATAGGATTATCCAATGGCTGTAGTAGGAACTGCAGGCAGAGGACTAATAGTTTATCAATTAGAGGGCAGTCCTAGGGAGTACAAAACAGTGGAATTAAGTTTGAAATACCAGTATAGATGTGTTGCTATTTTTAGAGATAAGAAAAAGGTTCCTACTGGTTTTGCAATTGGTAGTACAGAAGGTCGTGTAGCAATACATCATTTAAATTTAAGTTCAAAAGAAAATTTTACCTTCAAGTGTCATAGAACGAATGGAACTCCTAATGGATATCAAGATATTTATGCGGTTGGTTAAGTTTAGATATTTTTGTTCTTCAAAGTTTGTTTCATATTTAATATGAATTCTGTTCTCTGCTTAGGTCAATGATATTGCCTTTCATCCAGTTCATGGTACTGTTGCAACTGTTGGAGGAGATGGCACATTTGGATTTTGGGATAAAGATGCAAGAACTAAACTAAAGTCTTCAGAACCTATGGAACAGCCTATTACTCGCTGTTGTTTTAATCACAATGGACAAATATTTGCTTATGCAGTGTCTTATGATTGGTCAAAAGTAATTTCTTTTTATATGATTATAACATATGTAACTTCAATATGAAGTTATTATATAAGATATTATTTTGCATCTTATAGAGGACTGAAGGAAATAGAAAGTTATGAATATTCATAATACTTTTTAAACTTCAATTACTTTAATTTCTATACATAATGTTGTTTGAAATTAATGTTTATTTAAAATGATATCAACTATATTTAACATTTCTAGGAAAGAAGATTATTAATAGTAATATGTTTATGTTACAGGGTCATGAATATTATAATCCAGCAAAGAAAAATTCCATATTTCTTAGACCATGTTTTGAAGAACTAAAACCTAAAGCCTCACCGTAAATCAGAGGAGCACCGACTAATTAACTTAACGAGTTTCTGAATTCTGTGATGTGTTTCAAGATGCTAGATTTTATAATTACAATTACAGGTTATACTGTTCTTATGGATAAATTATAATTTTCCTATCTTTTAGCTACACGAGACATTTTCTGCCATTATACCATTATAATAAATTGTAAATAGTTTTGATATACAATACAATTGTAGTTTACATTTTCATTATGTATATATTTCACTTTTTCACACAAGCTTATTGTACAAAGTAGTATATACATGCAAGAAGAGTCTTATTCCTTTTTTGTCCGTGTAAAAATGTAAAAAAATAATTTTAGTAAAAAATTCTTTTACATCTCGAAACTAATACAAAAACTATCCTTCATCTATTTGGTTTTTGAAATAAATATAAATCCAATCACATTTTAATAAATTAATACCATTACGTTGTATTATTAATAAAACAAAATTTTTTTATATTAATACTATGTTATTATAATTTAAAAATCATTAAAATATTAATTATTTCCTCAAAACCAATAGATTCATTTATCAATGTTTAATTATTAACTATTACGAAAAACGGATGTAAAAGTTACATTTGTATTGTATGTATATCAATTGTTTCGTTACAAATGAGGAAATGTTTAAACAAGAAATATTTATAAATTTCATTATTCCGGATTATAATTGAAATCTCAATTTTTCTATAATTGATCAAGAAATACTAAATCTTAGACAGAAGCTGCTCTTCGTATAATTAAAAAAAAGACGCAATTCTTTTTATAAGAAATACAACATTTAGTTTATTCTGCGAATTTCTAAGCAATAATTTCCTAACAATACCGCGAAAAAAGATTGGTGTGTATCTATGATTTTTTCAACGTATATTGTCCCATTCGATGTGTTTACAAAATTAACATTCGTTCGATTAAAAATTTCGTTTCGTTTCCGGAACAAAAGTGGACTAAAATCGTTAAAGGAAGTTGAGGGATATCGGAGCCGAAGAGTTGGGGCGAATTGGACGTGACTTTGCGTTACCTATCTGTAGGAAAAAAAGAAAAAAAGGAAAAATGTTACATGACATCCTTTTTAACATCACATTTCTTAAATGATTAATATTAAAAAGATATTAATTAATGATTATTACTAGCGATTAAGAATTAGATAATATATTAATACTAATAGTGTACAACCATACGTTATTTTTTTTTCTTGCGGGCGTAAGGATAAAACATCGTGAAATGTTTTTCTTGTATTTAGGCTCGTGTCTAATCGGTTTTTGAATAATATTACTTTTTTCTCATTCACTCATATACATACAACACGTACACGCTTACGCACAATATATTTTAACACGCGTACACAGGTTTTCATGTATTCTAGTTTGCTTGATGTTTCCTTCCACGCGTAATAATAAGGAAATAAACACGTACTCGGAATACAGGCACACTTCCATCTGCCTTTCCGCCTCGGCAACAATTTGTTTTTCCCTTTTATCGAATCTGTTCAAGAGGAGAGCAGCTTCGAGTCGCATTTATATTACATTTATTTCAGCCCGTTGCTGTTCTCTCTTAAGGATGAATTACATCGAATCTTTATGTTATTTTCTTAACCGTTTAAGGACCTTCATTAAAGTGTCCGATTAAGTTTCTTTCCCTTTCATCGGAAATTATCGTTAAGCTCTCTGCGTCTTCCTCTTTTTTTTATGATCATTCAACAAAATAAACTCTAGCGACAGTAATCATCGGTAATTACATCGTTAATTTTACGTATATACATACGCTTTTAGTTTTAATATGTATATAGCGGAGTAAACATTTATATACTAGATCTTGAGCGAAGATCAAACATTCTTATCGATACTCTTTTATAATCTATTTTTGTGTTTTTAATCCTGTTTCTTCTCTGTTCTTGATCTTTTGTGTTTCTCTTCGCTCAGAGACTTTTTCATGCAAAATCACGCAACTTTGCTCAACTTTGCAGTAATTTAGGCGAAACCAAATCCTTCGCTACATTCGTGGATCGCTTTTAACAAATTCGTGCGGAGCTTGTCGTAAGTTTCATAAACGGGCAGATCCAGTTGATTGAAACTAAGAAACAAAAATTTGTCGTTAAAGTTACATAACGGTAGGAATTTAATTTAATATGAGTATAGAACTATCCGCAGTCAACCTTATATTTTTTAGGAAGTCATAGAAATTATAAAATATAAATAGATATACAAAATTTACCATGTATGTGCCGAGGGAAGTCTATCCGTAGATCTATCTTCACGGTGAATTTGGAATTTCTGTATACCATTCATTCCTTCTAAAGCAGCGAAACCTTGCAGCGGTACTTTCGAAGTTCCAGTGACGAACTGTAAAAATTTAGCTCTATCTGCCTGATCGAAACCACGTAATGCCCGCCAGAACCACTGGATCTAAATTAAGAACAAATTGCATATGTAATACTGATTTACACATTTTTTCATAACATTTAAATTGAAGTACATACTTGTAGAGAATTTGCGCTATACTTATGATATTCAGTATTGGCCTTAAGATCTTCGATATCTACATTAGGTAATCCACTAATTAACAACTCAAGTTCTTGCTCATTGAATATAGAGATCAGTCGTTTCGGAATAATATCATAAAAACCTTCTAGGAACGCGTTCAACCTAGACAACAAGTCAAGAAAAGGTTTGTATCTTCCAAATACATTCTGTATATTTATAAAACAATAAGGTTATTTATATATAATGCTCATTGCTTCTCTTTACTTACTGTTTACGGATTGCTCCAGTCATTTTCATTTGACACACGAGCCGAATGTATTCTAGCTTCGTTTCTTCAGTCACGACGATGTTACGTCCGTTTGGTATTAAATCACGAACATCGTTCACGCCGAATTCATTAACCTAAAAATATAATATATAAGTTAAATACTTGTCGATATATTAACACATAAATCAAACATATTTCAAGTTACCTCCGTGGAAAACGTTAATTCGTATCCAAGATCGGCGATATTGTGTTCAGTGAGATATACGAGACCCTTGTAAAAGCTATAATCTTCACTTTCCATATCAGTATGTTTTACTAGTATTCCCAGAATATGTTTATAAAAACTACGTGTAAAGTAACATTCTAGAAGTTTGTTGTCATAAATTGCTTTGGCTGTAATAATATTTGTCAATATTAGTTAAAGAATAGGATATATTATAATATTCTTTTAATATATTTTCGAATTTGAGCATATAATAATTATGTAGCTATTGATTATATCAGGAAAGAAAAACTTACCAATAACTCGACCAACAAACTTGTAGTAACATAAGTGGTTAGGATTACAGTGCGAAGAAGAATTTATCATGTAAGTCACTCGGTCGCCAGGACTTACAGTGAACAGGGCATACATAGGATTGAAAATTTCTCTAGAAATGATGACATACCATTCTCTAAGCAATCCTCCAGCATCTTGACCTTCCTCGCCTAGAACGAATAATCGTTAACATAAATATAATTTAAAAGCAAAATTTATCATACTATTTATCCTCTTTTTTACCTTCAAAGACGATGTAAAAACGATTTTTCCATTCGTCCGCATTCCGCCTGTGAAGTTGCCGGAATGAATCTTCAAAGACATGACTTCTACGAACGTGTACTGCTAATTCTTCCCTGCGGATGCTTTCATCCATTCGTTCCAATTCTGTACGGAAGTATCGTCTTTTCACGTCGAAATCAAGAACTCTAGTATGATCCACTAGCACGGAAAATGGTCCATCCGCTAAATGCGTGGTTGTCTGGCGAAGAATTTGGTTTAGGACAGTTCTGTGCGTTTCTGTAATGAATATACAAAGGATTAAAAATTTGCTACAGTTACTAATCTTCATGATATTTAAGAATTCATTAACAGAATCGAAAGAGATAATTCCCGAAGAAAATTTCATACCAGCAAATTTGAGGAACTTCAGTTGATCCGGTGGTAGCGTCTTCTGTGGCGGAGGTGTCATATCCCATGAAGTGTTAATAGTAGTTTCGGACTGGGATGTACCTTCGTTGTCTGAGTATATAGGTGAAACTGGTGCTAAATCGGGAATAACTTCCCGGTTATCTGCATTTGTATTTAGTTGGCGATCACGAGAAATACTCGATGATGAGTGGACCAAGAAAAATGCTTCTACTGCGGGCTGTAAAACTAAGACTGCATGATGATCAGGAGTATATTCCAGTTCCAATAAACAGGCGCTAAGTGTTTCCCACAAATGATCCAGTACTAAACTTTCACTTAATAATGGAAGCTTTTCTTCGGCTATAAAAAGAATTAAATTATGTATTTTTTATTCTGAATTTATTTAAGTAATGGAATCATATTTTTTATAAAATAATTACCTCCTTCTGAAGATTGGTTAGTGTTTGCAGTATCTACAGAACTTTCAGAAGTTTGATTGGCTGTAAATAAATATTAAAACACATGTAATTGATTGCTTCTTAAAAGTGAATCTTAACTACAAAATTTTCTTTTGTAAACGTACCTGTTTTCTTACTATTCGCTAAGCGCACAGCTTCCCTTATTTGTACGATCACTTTAAGTATTCTTAAAAAGAATGCCTGACTAGAAGTTTTGCTAACAAGGGCAGCCATGGATGGTAACTGAAGATCACTTCCAGCTTTAACTTTACTTGGTGCAGTGACTACAACGCTCTCGTTTGTAAACCTATCTAAAAGAATTCCTCGGGAACCTCCACTGCTAGTCGAAGGTTGCTCTTCCATAGAATTTCGTCTCAATTCACGGTTCAAAACTTTCAACTCCATCATCAAATCTTTGATGTGTTCGCAAACGACGTTAGCCAATTCCATAGCGCCTTCCAACAATAATTTCAATATTAATTGTCTAGTAGGATCAGGACAATGGGACAAATTAAGCAACAAGGCAGTTGCATCTTCTAATCCCTCCTCTGAACAACTCTTGCTGGTTAAAACTTGTACAGCCAACCTGAGATGTTCTTCAGGCGCAGCGATACACTGCTCTTTGTTCATTTCCATTCTCTTGTTCTTATTTCCTTCCTGTCTACAATAAGGATTCACTTCCGTCAATCCAATCGAGATCAGAGAGAGCAGTCTCAAAAGTTTATCTGTTAATTGGCTGCTGCGTTTGATGACCGACCAATTCAGCATCGAAATTAATTGACCGAAAGCAGACGACTCGAAAGTGGTCATGCTATGTTCTGAATCATTTCCTAAATTCGAGTTCGAATGTGACCTAGCGACAGATTTTCCTTTCTTCGAGGCACACGAATCGAGTTTTAACAGCATGTCCCAGAAATCTGGTTGATCGCTTTTTCCTGGTTTCGATGTAGATTTACTTTTTAAGCCAGCTTCTTCTTTGTTGCTTGAATCTTTATCCTTGTTACCTTCTTTGTCATCTGAGTCTTTAGATTTGATTGGCACAAAGTATCCAGGGAAGCCTTTAGCCAACGATATGAGAAGTTCCAATGTATGTCTATAAAAAATATATATGATTGCATTTCAGAACAATGTGTATTCCTAAACTTCAAGATCACTATATTAATTAATTTACCTGCAAACTGTAGGTGCTGCTTGAGGATGGATTGCGATACTGCTACCTTGCCTCTCTGACTTTTTACCACCGTGTCTTACAATATGGAAAACATTTGCTCTGCAGCCTAGTGCAGCATCAATGCTAATGTTTAACCATGACTGCGCACTACTTCTTTGGTCAAAAATTTTAGGAGCACTGAGGAAAAACAGAGCGTCTTATAATACTGATTTAAATCTCATGTAAATTAAAAAAAAATAAAGTTTCTTACCAATAATCATGGTGCATCATCGGTACCAAGCTTTTCCTTCTAAATTTCCCACCGAAATCCATGGCGATATCTTTATTCTCGTCGTTACTTCTTTCCATGATACTTAGCAAGGCTCTAACCACCCATTCTCTTGTGCTACCATGATAGCAAAGATTCCTGATAACTCTATGAAGCCTCAGCGTGTTAATTTTTGGCTCATCAACGAACAACAACACGAGTACGCAAGCCATCGATTCATGATCCAATAACTGTCTGCCTCTGAGTCGTAAGCTAGAAACTTGATGCGTTATACCAGAATCAAAGCGGGTGCTCCAGGGGTCCCACTGACCTCTTTGTGCTACGGTGTGGATTTCATAACGATTACCACCACCTGTACGTCTAGCTGAAGTCCTAAGTATACTTGATAAGGTGGTATTTCCTTGGCTAACGTGGCTAAGGAATCTTTCTTGCATGATGTGTCGATTTCGAGCCTCCCATTCTCTGCGAAGATTTTGAGCTTCCTGGGCCAAATCCGGAGGAAGAACGGAGATCTGTGACTCTTCCATGTCAGTCAGAATCGCTTGCCGAAGGGCAGGCTGCAGATTCTGGAAGAATGCAGCCGCGTCGACTGGATCTTCAGGATTGGCGCTTGCAGCTGCATGTCGTTGTTGTTCCAAGCGTTGTTGAGCGAGGACTTCTTCTTGAATCGCTGGTGGTAATGCAGCTAAAAATTCAGGATTGACTTCGACAGGTCCTGTCACTTCCTCCACTACAGTTGCCTGTGCTCGTTGCCTGATTCGTTGAAGTCTAAGCTGTTCGGCTATGACTTCGTCTCGCATATCTTCTGGCAAGGCAGCTAGGAACGATGGATCTACGCCATCCGGCAGTTGCTGGTCTTGAGACTGAGATTGCTGTTGTTGCTGCTGTTGCGATTGTTCCTGTGATTGTTGTGGTTGTTCCTGTCGCGGATGTTGAGGCTGTTCTTGTTGCTGTTGTTGCTGTTCCGATGTCTCTGCACTAACGTTTCCTGACGTGGAAGTAGTAGGATCCTGATTTACGACATTGGCGTTTCGTTCAACGTTCGACTGACTGTCGTCGGTGAAAATTCTAATCCATTCAGACGAATCAATTTCTCTTAACAAGACTTCGTTAGCTTCTTGACTGAAATCGACTACTATAGACGTGTTGGAACGGTTGGACGTATCGTTAGTGTTGGATCCCTCGACTATACGTTCAGATTGTCTCAGTCTGCTCGCTTCGGATGCACAAGGTCCAAGAACAGAGTCAACTATACTTTCGGCGAGTTCTAAAGTTGGATTTCGGTTGCTGATTCGAGGATCCCTGGGTTCTGACGGCTGTTCCTCTGGCGGTGGTGGAGGCGATCGTTCCTCGTCTTCTTGGACTGTCGTGTCCATCTCACCTGTTACATCGATTATGTCCTCGTCAGGTGTGCGTTCAGATCGACTTGCTTCAACGCAAGTTTCAAATCTTGGGACAAAGTCGGCAATATCCTCTCTCTGCGACGTCGATGCCGCTGATATTTGTTCTTGTATGGGTATCACAGCGGAAGAACCAGATTCCGTGTTATTCATATGATCCTTTCCTTCTTTACCATCTTTTTCATTTTTCTTCTCAGAGGCGTGTTGCTTTTTGCGTCTTTCCCTTCGTTCTGCCAATTCGGCGTTTCTGTACTTCTCCAGTCCCGGGATCAGTTTATATACAACACCCATACAACAGTCTGTCTGGGAATCACCGTCCAACAATTTACTTTCCTCGATCCACCAATGTAGAGCGGTCGGAGTACTATTTAATGTGGCTGCTAGGCTAGGTCCCAGAAGGTAGCCAGACTGATCCACGAGGTCTATTTGCTCTTCGTCTTGGTTTGTTAATATTCCAAGACCATTATCCATTAAAACAACCCGTGTATCCCGGAAACTGGAAGCTAACACCTGACTGGCGGATAAAGGAAGCGCTTGTGCGGCTGGTCCTAAGAGTCTTTGCAGTATTACCGGTGGATTCGGGTTGCGTGAATTTGGCAATTGGAGATATTGGAACCTCCGCGGCCGTATAGCTCTCTGAGTCCTTGTGCCACTGGCATCCAGACCACCTTGTGGTGCTAACAGCGGATGCGAATTTATACCGCTACTTTCAGAGACTGAAGGAGGGTCATCGAATAAGCCCAGAGGTAAGGGAAACGTTGTATTCCACGGAAGACTAGATCGCGGTGTTACCGTAGCAGAGGTATTTACATCATCCTGAGTATCGATATTGTGTCGAATCATCACGACATTGCTACCGTCCCGTTCTGCTGATGGGAACATGCGGAAAACGCCACTTTCCCCGACGTCTTCGTAAATCTCTATTCCATCCTCTTCATAATTCGAAGATTCCTCCTCCTCCTCTTCCTCCTCTTCCTCGTTTTCTTCTCCGTCATCTTCTTCCTCCTCCTCTTCATCCTCATCGTCTTGCACCTCGTCCTCGTTATCGTCAGAAGGATTGCTGTCGGAATCTGAATCAGAGCTCAGCAGATCTTCTCGTATTGTGGCGTCCCGTGTTGGGTCGAAGTCAGCTTCGCCATCCCGTATCGCGAGACTCTCGTCATCGATGTCCATTGGTCTGTGAGGGCGCGAGGACTGATCTTCCGTCACACCAGAGCCGTCCCTGGAAAACAATACACTACTTGATTATAAGTACAGCAGCTTACATGAACCTAAAATAATAATTTTTAAAATAAAGTTTTTTAATATGAATTTGACAAACATACAGTATGCCCTATTGAAATGCCTTTAGTTTGTGGTACCATAATTATTATAAACCAAACCATTCCTTCGTTAAAAGATTGAAATTAAATTTTTATTGGACGTATGCACTTAAATCTGGCACACTGTACATTATTTAAAAATAACATTATTTATGATTACCTCTCAAGAAGTTGATCCATGATATCTTCAAGGACGGCTTCCTCGTGTACTTGGCTTTCAGAAGTAGGTTCTAGGCTTTCAGCCGTAACAGATATGTCATGTTCAGTATTTTCTGCATCCTCGTTTGTCTCCTCTCCAACTGCGTGTGTGGCTTCCGACGTAGTAGTTCCTGTTTGTTCTCCAATAGGTTCTTCTTGAACCGTCCTACTTTTTGGTTTTGAGTATTTATTGTTAACAGCACCAGGCATTGGTTGATTTATGATTCGAGACAGTGTTTCAAGCGGTTTCAAAGCAGCATTGATGGTACCAGCCATATTAGGACTCGAAAGGTCAAGACTATGTGGAATCTTTGCTAGATCAGTTATTATTCCTTTCCTTAACATAATTCTCACAATGTAATTGACATTGTTACATTGTTGAACTTTCAGAGAAGCTCTCAACTGATTATGTGGAGTTGGTGGACAGCTATCAATCATGGTGGAAATCAAACCGATCAGCAATTGCAATTGCGAGTGTTTTTCTGAGCTTTCAGGGAGGGCTAAGGTTCTTGTCAATGCTGCTTTCACCTCAGTAACCAAAATTGTCTGAGCATCAGGCGAATGATTGCAAGAAGCTATCGCAGCTATCAACATCCTTGCCATGTTATATTGTTTATCGTTGGAATTTTCTGGTAACATTGGTAAGAGTTTGTCCAAGAGAAAGGCAAGTGCAGAAGTATCCTCTGTCACCATTTCACTTTGTCCTGCTCTGTATACGTGTTCTGTAATTAAACCTGCCACCGCGCTGTATGAACGAACTGCTTCAGCAAGTATCTTCAAGATAGCAGATTTTGCCAGCAAAGGTTTCTTCGCTTCTTCAGGTTCAGCTTTGCTGTTGCTGCTAACATCTGGATAGATTTTCATAGGAATTATTTGGGAAACTTGATCTTCGTCATCAATAGTATCATTCATTGTAGTTGCATTATTCCTTAGAACATCCCGTCGAGAAGATGTTGAGCATTCCACAGTAGAATTTAGATAAGCCGCCTTCTTTTCAGGGCTTCTTGTAGGTGTCGAGGATTTCTCGTCAGAAATAACTGGTGTAGGCTTTATCAGAGCATTCAGCAAGTCCTTGACTACAGATATAGACGCTTCTTCCACCATAGGTAAAGCTGATGTGTGGCTGGGTGGCAGGGCCTTCACGATCAACCTGTTGTCACCGTCTTCTTTCCTTAATAAACTGATGTCTACTCGCAAAATGTTTGCACAAACTTCTCTATAGACTTCCGGGTTACGACAAACAGCGCTGTTGATTTGGCGAGTCATGAACAAAATCTCCTTGCATGCTGGTGGTATATTACCTTGGGTACGACTACGGATTACTTTTTCCATAGTTTGACGAAGAGTGCGCGGTTCCTCCAAGGCGTGGCGAATAAGAAGAGTACTGAGATTGATACAACCAGCGAAACTACTCGATTCAGCCATATCCAAAAGAAGTTTCACGCCTCCTTCTCGAACAAATATCTCTGCATTCTCGTAATCTCTCGTGAACCGCAAACATACCTTCATTGAGGCATGCAAAGCATCCCGATCTACTGGAATGGCCATCAATTTTACGCAAGCACGTATGATACCTGGTGCCATACTAGGGTCCAGTCCTTGGAGAACGGTGTTTCTTTTATCGTCCATTCGGTTCTCATCGGTGTCCATGTTCGAGTCAGAACCAGATCCACCATCTTCGTTGCCCATGTGTAATTTAAAGCCCATTGTGATGGGTCTCCTATTATCGCTATCTTCGTTGACTTGTGTCATGGTAGAAAAGTTGATCACGTATCTTCGTTTGTTGCACATTACTCTGGTGCTGGATTCGCCAGCCCAGTATGCGTCGTTAATTATTCGATTATTTACAGATGAGTATAAAGTCCATCTTCCTGTACTTAAGTCGAACCACTTCCACAATCTGTTCGTTATCTTGTACATGAATTCTTTTCGCTTCTTTAATATGGCTACTTTTTCCAGACGTTCTATCAGCAGCAATAATGGTGCCAGCCATTTAGGAGTTTTCGCAGAGGGTGTATCTTTATTACCTTCCTTAACGATTTTATTTTTATTAGCTGTAAGTGGACCCTCGCTTAACACCAACAAACGTACAAGTTTGTTCAAGATTGCATATTCTTCTACGATCTGGGCACATGGAACTCGCATTTCCTGAAACGTTCCCTCAAAAAACATGGTGTATAGATATATACGTCCAGTGACCTTGTTAGCTTCTTCGCATTCTACTAACTTTGCACCAGCATTTGGATCTTGGCTCTCGGCAATTCCTATCAGGTAGTCTATTAGACTGCCAATTTCCTTCATGAGTTGTCGTAGCATGTTATCACGCCATTCGTCCCCATTTCTTTTAGCAATAGCGACTAACAAATCGCAGATTCTGTACACAGTATCAGGCATTAAGTCCAGTAAGTTTAAGCACTGACTGAGCGCGTTATGTGTGAATTCATCTATGCTTTCTGTTATGGTAGTCTCACGAGTTTGTTTTTCTGAGCCGAAAACTTTTCGCGTTTCCGTTTCACCAAGCGACATTGCTATGGCGTGCATTATCTGATCGTCGTCAACTAATTCCAAATCCATAACAAGATCTTGTCCACTCGCATCACCTGCTGGTACATCTGATCTTCGTAAAGTAGCAGGATTAGTCAGGAGGTAATCTGTGGCTTGTTCAACGGATAACGTATGAAGCAAAGCTTCTATGCAGTGAGCTCTGCTGAAACCCATATCCATTAGTTGTCTAAGATGTTCTGGATTTACGTCTGGTTCTAGTTCCTCTCTGTCGGATATTGTTCCACCAGCTCTTGCGATTCCGCTGGTTCCGCTAGTGATACCAGAAATTGCTTCTCTGATGTCTTCTTCTTTCTGAGAATGTTCTTTAATCATTTGTTCACCTCTTAGAATGTGTCGCAAAATAGATAAAATTAATTCTGTCATATGTGCTCCATAGCTCTTCAATGGTTTCTTTCCCCACATTAGCATTACTGCTTCAAAAGCTTCCTTGTGAATATCAGTCAAATATTTTATTGCATCGAATGTTTCGTATACTTTATACATTCCCGTACATTTTACGACATCAACATAAGGTGAATCCAGTAGAGTTTTAGGATTCACCATCTTTTCTAAAATCATGAGCCAACCGTCCAAAAATTCTCCGGTACAATCAGGTAAATTTGGATGTTCTAATCCTTCAGCTAGTGGAAACTGTCCTCCTCCAGATAATACCCAATGGAAAGCACTGAAAACATGTGCATATAATTAAATCACCTGAAAACTAAGCAGTATATGTATTGAATGAGTTCTAAATACTTACGCAAAGAATGCATTTTGTCCACCTAGCTTAACGAATTTTTGGAGCATCTGATGAAACGGATAACCTTTTTCATCAAACAGGGCGGGAGGTACGAAACTCAAGGTGCACATTAAGAAAGTCACTTGAAGTTTAGGTACCGTTGATGGAGGTAACTTGTCCCATGATAATCCACGAATTAGTACATAATTCAAAGCAGTTGCTACACTTCTTGCTGCTTGCGGAGGAAGAGCTGGTATTGACAATTGCTGTGCTCTGCGCTGTCTGATTGGAGAACCCATGCAAAGTTTTACGAGTATAGCAAAAAGTTCTGCTAATGCTCTGCCCATTTTGGACGTGAGTCCTAGTAAGTGCTTCGGATACGCGAATCGATGAGAACTTGGAGATGCTCTTCCTGTATTAGGATTATTTGGTTTCTCGTCCACCTCCATGGGAACTGGTGGTGGATCGGTACTTAAAGCTTCCATGGCTGTTGTCATTCCGTTACTTCCCATATCTGAGGATGCAGCACCAGACCAGCTAGAACTCTCACCCTCAGTCTTTGATTCAGGTGGTACTAGTTTGTCCATATCTTCTTTTCCAAAGTCACAACCAGGCGGAATAAAATCTTCTGTAGTAAGTGCCAGTAATGCTGTACTTTCCCAAATCAGAGCTGTGTATAGTTCTGAAAGACCTTTCAAGACGGTGAGACCTAGTTCTGATCCCCAGTGGTTCATGGCTAAATTTCTGATCTCACTCTGACTAGTGCGACACACTTGAGCAAACATTATTATATATCCGTAAGCGGCGTTCATAGCATGAAGCAGAGGTGTCGCAGTGTCGCTGGTAAAGGCTGTTTCCAAATTTGGAGCAGAAACGAGCTCGTGTAACAAAACAGAACCTCCTGGAGCTTCCATGTAGTTGTACAATGGTTTCAACAAATTTAAAACCTCGTTTAACTGAGATAGTCCGGTTTTTAAAACTAGTGGTTCACGAGCAAGATTCTGAAAATAGAAAAAAGTATGAAAGATTAAAATTTGTGTAGGATGTCAGACATTGCAAACATTTTTACAAAAATTACAAGCCTCACCAAAATACTTTTACAAACTGTAGCCACAGCTTGAGCTGTCTGTGTGACTGAATAATCAACGGGTAGGTTAGGTAACCCCAAAATTGACAATAGTGGTACAAGGCCTTTTTGGGCAACGAATTCTCTGCAGTGATCTTCCGTTGAATTATTGCTGAGAATAGCGTCAACGAATTTTGTTACATTCTGTATGTATTCCATTAGAGCTATTGGAGTTTTTTCTCTAGGTTGAGGTGGTGGACCAGGTTGTGCGGAGGATGATGAAGATTGTTCTTCACGTTGAGGATGGGAACTCGTACTGGCTTCCTCTTCATCATCTTCTTCTTCGTCACTACTGCTTCCACCTCCGCCACCTCCTCCATCGCCAGAATCTCCAACGCCAACTCCAACAGACTGTCCAGAAGATTGACGATTTCCAGAATTCGAGTTCGATTGAGAATTATCGAATTTATCCTCAGCTTGCAAGCAAATATAACGGGGATCGCAACCCATTACACAAAGCTCTTCTAGCAGTTTTATAACAGCAGCAATTGCGTCAACCTTCAAACTCGGTTGATGCCTCATTAGTTCATCCATAGCATTGCCCAGATTCGAAGCTGTGTCACCTAACGGATCCGTGCTTCGACGCCGTTTCATTGCAGGAAGATACATTGGCGATAATAATACTTTAAATAAGCGTTCGAACGGACGTCGTTTTACGAATGACTCTAGACCTCGTTGATTTAAGCACAGGGCACTGAACACGTTAGGCAGTGATCCCAGAACTTCTCTACTAGCAGGGATTTCTTTAATGAGTAAAGCGTGTAACACAACGTCAGTCAATCCATTATCTTGCAGAGACGACAACAAAGAAGGTTCTTGAAAAACGTACACAGTTACAACATCCGTCGCAAGAAGGAACAGAGAAGGGCCATAATACTCTGAATTACTAATAATATGTTTTAAAGAGGAAGGTAAAGTGCCTTCCATAACATGTCTAATGCTATCAGAGAAAGTTGGATCCTGAATAATCTTTTTTGTAAAATTTAACATTGATTTTAAAACCGCAGCACGTTGAGGCAGACAAGTTTTCCCAGTTTTTAAAGACGAATAATCCGGTATTTGTTCGTTCTTCTCATCCGCTTTGGAACTCATATTTTCATCTTCCGACAACTCCATAGGATTAGAGGATTCTTCGCGTTCATCGAACGCTTCGTTCATGCGACGAGAAGTTGCAGGATTCTCGTCTCGATCTATCGATCGTTCCCGAGTTGTCGGCGGAGTTTCCTGATAATGCATCGGTTCAATTTCAAAGGGTTGTTCCTTTCTGCAAATATTTACTTCCATATCGAGGCGATTAATAAAGCTTGCTAGGCCACCGTGTGCTTGGAATCCTTGCATGTCTATATTCGTTATTAAATCTATCACACGAACTGCTCTCGTTACAAACTGTAACAAAATCGATTGTATATATAAAATAATCATTAAAGAAATTTATGTGTGATATAACAACAAAAGGCTAGAGAAATCTTACCGTTATGTGTTCCAGTTCGCTTCCAGGCCAGTTTATAATTTTTAATAAGCTTTCCATCATTCCGCAACTGACGAGAGCCTCACCTCCGGCTTTGTAACTCGCTAGGTGATAAAGAAAGCTAAACAACGCCGTTACGAGCGACAAAGGAAAAGGCTGCCCATCAGATTGCGGTGAAATCAATGACGTAATGCAAGTGCGAATTAATACAGGAAGAAATCCGTGATACGAACTAGCTCCAGTGACGTCGATAATCATGTTTAATCTCGAGCCAGGTTTTCTGATAAATAAATTTAGTATTAGTCATACATTAGTAATATAAAGAAGATTTTTATTATTGCATTTTAAAAATTTTGCTTACTTTGGAAAGTGTGAATTACGATCTAAATGAATAATACTAGTGAGAGTTCGCAGTGCTGCTGCACGAATTTCAACAAGATGTGCGTGTGGAAGTTCCAACAATTCGACTAACTCTTCTAAAAGTCCAGGATGCAGTAAACAACGGGCATTTTCTTCCAGTTCGCTATTATATACAAGTACTGATAATGCTTGCAATCGAGCATGTACGCACTGCAAACGTCTTCGATAATCAGAAAAACTATGTGCCAGCCTTATATGTGTGAACAGCGCAATCTGTCGATCTTGGGGTACATTATAGACTTTTAATAAATCATTCATTATCTGTGCTGGAGTTTTGCCAAGTTTGTCTACATTTTCTATATGTATGCATGTTACAAGATTTGTTTGTCCAGATTTCTTTGTACCACTATTTGATGTGGTATTTGATGCATCAGATGTTGGATTTTCTGCATAAAATTCAAAATGTAATGTTGTGGCACTTGCAGGTAGTGGCTAAAAGAATAAAAAAAACATTAGAATATTGCAATATGAAATATATTATGACAAATAATATATCATTATAAAAAATTACTTACTTTATCTGGATATTCTTTACAACACTCTGCTAAGCCAAATCCATTTTCTTTACCGCCCCAACTCTAAAAATTACATACAATTTTTTTAGTTTTTGGCATGTCATTTATTTCATACTTAGATTAGTATAATATTCACTTTACCTCAGCCAGGAGATTAAGTCTGCTTAATAAAGCTTGTCTTTTGTCATTGTTCAAACGTGCAATAAAATTACTACGTTTACTAAACATATAAAGAATGTTTAGTACACCAAGTACAACATGCATGTCACAACTTGACAATAATGTTACAAGATGTTCCATACTGTTGTACAAATGCCGCGAGTATGAATGTTCAATGACAAGTGTTGTGAGATGGAGAACCCAAAGAAGAAGTTCTTTTGCCTATAAAAAGTAGAATAATGATTTGTTAAAATATTTATTTTACTTTTAATCAAAGTTATACAACAAATGTATAAGATAGTTGTACCTCTCGATTTTGAGGGAGATCACAGGCTAATTCCCATGGATTGTCTGGACTTTTTGTCGCAGCCTCTTCCAAAATACTATCGCTAAGATCTAACACATCAATCCAATGAAATAGTTCACATTTTCCAAAAGTCCAGGCATCTATCTGTTTTAGCTCTTCTAGCAACTCTGCATGGGAGCATGAGCGCAGTTTGCTTATAAGGGCCTGACATTCTGCAGGCTAAAAATTTATTTATTTATAGTACAAAGCTTGTGTATTAATTCATTAATATGAAACATTAATTTTCATTATAAATTGTTACTTACTGGTACAGAAGTGTACTTCCTCAATTTATTTCTATCAATTTTCATTTTGGCAGATAGAGAATTTCTTTGTCAATTTAAAATCTGAAACATTATTATCAATTGATCAAATTACAAAAAGTTATCTTTTTAAAAGGATATGTTATATATAGATGGATAAGGATATATATTTAAATGTACACGTATATACATATTGTCTTTTAAAATTAAAAGATTCAATAAAATCACAAATTTTAAATAGGCTAAATTTATAGCATAATATTATCTAATCACATAAAATTATCAGGTATCTTTCATATCTTTCAAAATATGATGGAATGATTCACATGTACAAGTTCATGCAATTATATCACTCAGTTGCTGCAATATTGACTCAGGTCTCATTTTACTACATTCACAGTATCAATTAGACAAAACTTTTATTAAATATTTTATAGATTGCACACGAGCAACTTAAAGAAGTTGTCATCTGACTAGTTAACAAAAGCAACAAGATCCTTAAACACTCAATAATTCAACACTAGTACAAAGTTTCTGATCAAATTTCTAAAATACATTTCTAAAGATATACATATATATATATTAACATGTTAATGGGTCAATATACCATTTTTTAAATGCAATTTTATGCACAAATAAAATCACTTACATTAAATAAAATTTGTATAATTCTTACATAAAGTTGTATCCTAAAATGAAATATTGGCCATTAATGGGTTAGAGGATTTCAATTTTTCTTTTAAATATACAAATATTTTAAACAATATTAAAGTGCAACATTACAATGTAACAATTAACATAATACTTAAATATTAAAGATTTTATTATTTTTAAACGAATTATAAGAAATTTCCATATGGTCGAAAAAATTAAAAATAAAACAATTCATATTAATAAATAAATCTTTGTATATCGATGATTTTAATGACAAAATTTATCAACAACGTTGTATGTCGTAAGAAAAAATTGTATCGATTAAAAAAAAATCGGAATAATCTGAGACACGACATTCATAAAATGAGTAACAATGACGTTACAAACCTCGCGACAAAGCTCTAAAGCACGGACAATTTGTACCAAATCGTACAATCTACGTCATCGATGATTATTCGAAGGAAAAACCTAAATAAAGAAATACACGAACGATTACAAAGAAAACAAAATAAACAAAGAAGATGTTGAAAAAATATGTAAAAAATTGCAACAAATATTGCAATGTTCTAGAAGATTGCACCGTTAGAAGGACAATAGGAACGAAAACAACCTGGATTCTCGTTAAGATGCAGAGTCATCGGTTTCTAAGGCCTAACCTAACTAGGCCTCCATTCGAGGAGCACGAAGCAACAACAAAGGGACGATGTGCGCACAAAAAAATGTCAAGATAACGAATATAGTTTAAAAGTGACAAGAGCAGGAATTAAACTATTATGGAAAAAATTTGCGCGCAGAAAATGCAGACAGGTAGTGAAAGCGGAAAAGTGGTACTCGTGGCAAAACTCACCTAGAGATAAGCTGACAAGGATTCGATAAAATGGTCCTTGTCGTACGGCCTTTCGATAAATTCGAGGTCGGAACGATGCGGCATCACGGCCGTCGAAAACCGTTCCGTCGGTGGTTCTTACCACCTTGATCGTCCTCGATTCGATCGTATTTTCTCGCCAATGAGACGCAGATCGCGATTTCACACGGGATGAAAAAGAAAATAAAACCGAATGATCGGAAGCGACGAGAATCGACCGGTTTCCGTGGGGCTGGACTATCGAACGAGATCAAAACAAAACTTGACGAGTGTGAATAGAGCGCGATCCTCTTCTATCGCTTAGCGCCAATCGGAGTACCGATCACCGCCATTTTACCGAGGCTTTCCACCGAGGATCGTCCACCTTTCCTTTTAACCTTTTCGTAACGTGCTTCCGGACGCGAGCTTCTCGAACAATCTCACGAAAGTTCACGACCTTCGTACGACACTGCACAACACTGTACACGACTCGATGATTCGACTACGAACACGATTTCAATCGCGCTCAGTGCACTGCACTGGCTGCCTGTGCACGCATACTCGTGTAATAACACTGAAGACGAGGCTGAAACGATGCAACACTGACTATCCACTGTTAACTGATCCACATCTTTTATCGAGAAATTTCTGAAAATCGTACGCTTGCATTCTATCGCTGCGCAATACGGGAATTATGTGGCAAATGCGTCCTACTATTCACGGATATTTCTGATTCGTTCGCTTCCGAGAAACTCTCCGTGTGATAGGACGCTTCGTAACCAGCCGTAACTGTTCATTGTTAGGGCGCGTTTAGAATGGACGACAGATAGAGAGAGAATCCGTTCGTTCTCGTTTAGTGAAAACGACGATCGAACAAACTCAGGGACGGCGTAATATGCGGGTGAAGAGAGGCAATAGTCCAGAGGAGACTGAAAGTTGGAAAAATGTTGAAACTTAAAATTGCGGGATTTGTCTACCTTAGAAAGTAGAGTAAAATTTTATAAAGGTTATCCTATTTCACTTGTGTTTTCTGCTTCCACTTAAAAGATTAGGAAAATAGTACCAAAAAATGATTTTCTTTGTTATCGTTTTATTGTTAAGCCAGCCCTGAATGAACGATTCATTCGGCCATGTCAAATTACTGAAACTGATCGAATGTTCCGGAAGATCAACAATTTCTAAATATTTCTTCAAATATTTTCGTTGTAGTTTATGTTTTAAAATACTTTTAAATAATAGCACACTCATTGAAATTTAGTAAGTAATTCTAGTAACTTTTTGGCAACAATTGGCATTAGTCCGATGCATCTCAAAAACATACGAGTTTAAATTGTACTTATTTTGAACTTGTATAGAAGCTGATCGTCTTATCAATTTAAAATTGAATATGCTGGATGCATTGAAGAAAAAAGAAGAAAGAACGAACAAGTAATTTCATAAAATTTTATTTATGCAAAATATTACATAACATCATAAATAGGATACAATGTAGAGTAACATATCTTGACAGTAGCATTTTCAATAGAAAGCGGCTTTCTCGAATCCTCACTAAATATTCTTTTCACTTATTTCACAGCAGTTGTCACTTCAACAAATCGTCGAAAATGAAACTTTGAAGAGTTTCGAGTTGTAAAGCATGCAAAACAATTAATTCTTCCGAGGAGAGGAATAATTTACAACCATTCTGTGACAGAGCTTCAAGTAAGAGCAGTCTTCCGCGTCTTATAAGAATGTCCGCTGCAGTATCAGTCGTAGACGGAAACGAAGAGACGGGTGAGTACTCCATGCCCAATTATTCTTTAAGAAAAATTATAAATAATGTTGTAATGACATTAATAATATAATTCTTGTTCTATAGTTATAGGAATATATTATTATTCAATGGTGCTACATCTCTATCAACAAATAATTCCTATGTCATCAAGATTCGACATTATCAACTTCCTCTGCTACTGAGTTATTAATTTTTTATAACAGTTTCCTATGTTATCAACTATCTGTAATACTTAGTTTCTTTGCTACCATGTTCTTATGTTATATATCAATCTACTATATTATTAATCTACTATGTTACTAAGTTACCATATGATTATCATGCTATGTTATTATTATAGTGTTCCAGGATGCGTACTTTGATCGTCACGTTGTTCTTCGTCACGACCGTTTGCTTAACTGGAGGACGCGGTAAAAGCCACGGGCAATTTTGCAGATACTGGTGCAGAACGCCGGACAATCGATATTATTGCTGTCCGTCGGGAAAAACTGAGAGTTGGATGGAATATGCCTGGCATAACTTTTTCTACCCCTTGCTGTGGATGAGCGTCGATGAACCCCCTTCGTTCCATACACCCTGGCCGGAAATATTTGTCGAAAAGGAGAAAGAAATCGAGAAACATTGCCCACCGGTGAGAACCCATTGTCCACGAAGATACGATTTGTACTTGCCGCCGATTTTTTGTCACACGGATGAGGATTGCAGCGAATGGGAAAAATGTTGTTACGATATCTGTCTCGAGCACAAAACGTGCAAACCCGTTGAATTGTAAATTGGGTCCATTTGGAGATTTTAAACCCTACATGGAAACTATACATCACATAATGTTGAATTAATACCATATATTAATTTGATGTAATGTTCTCATATAAGTATTAATATTGCCGTCTTTTGCAATGGTTAGGTAGTGCGTTGGAAAACTGAAACACGAAGTTCTTAATTCATAATGTAGTAACTATCGTAGTTTGCATATATTCGTAGGAATGAATGAAAGAATGTTAAAAAAAAAATGTTAATTTCTATTAATCTTGTAACTGGAAACACTCGATAAGAAGATTCCTCCTCGTGAAATAAAATCATACATGTTCAATGTAATCTAGCAAGGTTCCCAAACATTTTTCATTTAATTGTCGTGAGAGCCTGGCTAATTAGAATGCTTCAGTATTATTTTATGCTAATGATAACAAATTTGTCAGTAACATTTCAATTAACGTGGGCGTTAATGAACAGTTATGTTACGGTGCGTTCTTCACCCTGACCTCGCCCTCGTTAAGATACATATTAGCTTAATTAATGCGACCGCTTGTCTGACATTCAAATTTTCTGAAAAAATTTCAACAATCATGTATTATTTTATTCGCTCGTTAAATTGAAGCTGCGAAGAGAATCATTCTTTCTTGAATTGACATTGACAATTTTACAAAATGGCGCATTTTTTCAAAATCACTTTAAACTTTTAATTTAGGAACGTTTAATCTTTAACATTGCGAATGTAATAAGTTCTGAAGGGGCGTTGAAACAATTTAGATAAGGCCGAGTGTAACAGATGTTCTATAATTTCAGGGCGTTCCAAAGGGAGCCCTCTATTTATTGTGTTATGGACTGTATAATTAAGTACGCAGAAATATGATCCTGATTAATACTTTGCAGACAAAGCAGATGGCTATAAGTTACAAGCAAATCTTTATAAACAAGAAATAGGTCTGAAATTAAATTAACATTTCCTGTATAAGAAATTGAAGTACCAACTTGAAGTAATACATCTCAAATATTTTGTCAATAGTCTCAGAAGAAGAGAAGCAAAAGGAAATATTCAAACTATTCGAAAGCGAAAGAAGTATTCGATCGATGAAATTATGGGTTTCTGGGTTAACCATTATCCACCAGGATTGTTCGGCAAACACTTGCCCTTTCATTCAGCTATGCGGAGGCAGAACTGCGTTTAATGGAAGCTAAGAAGCGAGGATGTAAAAAAAGAAGAAACGGATGAACTAAAGTGGCAGGTAGATGCCGCCATTTTTATTGGATTATCGTGTGACAACAACATGCTTTAAAACAATCTAAAATTCCCTCTAAGTAAAAAATGGATTAGAAATTAAACTTCAATCTCTTTTTCAGCGCGTAGCATTGGAAACTCTTCTCGGTCACAAAGATCTACAAAGAAATCCGTGAAATCTGGACCTCAGTCGAATGCTCACGTAGTTCACGCATTTCTCACACCGATTTCTATAATAATGAAATGCCCAACAGAAAGGACTATTTAGATCTGGATTTTTAGTGCCCTATACAGCTTATATTTATTAAATCACACTGGATTGCCGAGAAATTGAAATTAAATGCTTCCGAGGAAGATGAAAACGATACTCTTATACACGAGAAGCATCTACGTAAATGAGGCAGACCGTAACGCGACAATTGTTGTGTTGGTCAACTACAAAGAATGGTGTTCTAAAGGAGCTATGTCTTCAATATTCAGTGGCATTGTCGCCTTTTGACTGTCAGCTGCGAATTTTAAAAAGGAAAGCCACCGTTCACGACTTGTACCTACAAGTTGTAACCTGCTATTGTGACCGTTATATACATTACAAGTGTCCTCTTCTCGTTGGGCCCCCCTTACCAAGATTTAATATTGGACGTCGATGCTGAGCTATACGTTCCTTGAATATTAACTACAAGATGTACGTGCATGATTAATTGAAAATGAAAATTGGAACGAATTTCGTTTAATTAATTTCAGTACGATCTCCACAATTACAGCGCTTCAAAATCTCGCTATTATTGTATTGAACTAGGATGGAAAACCTGTTACTGCTACTTGTCGAACAAGAGATGAAATTAGTAGATTGAGAGTAATTCCTGTTTGAATACTAACGTTGTACACTCCCAAAGGTATTTCAGGGAAATTGTAGAGGGTCTCTGTTGAAAAGATACTGATCTTTCAAAGCTGGACTTTTCAAAAGCGATCGTATCTCGATCCACGTCAAGATGCAGTTCTTTACTACTGGTTCAGAAAACTTGAACAGCATTAAAAATCATACTTGTATATGTAAATATTCATCTTCTAACTTTGCAGTAATAGCAAATATTTTATCTTTCAAACAATAAACGCAACTAAAAAAATGTTTCTATTGTTTCAGCGCTTTGGGAAAAGTTGATTGTTTAGGACCGAAACGTGGGAAAAGTAATAGCGATTTCCTTATCTGGCTCGAGGGAAAATCACGCTTGCGGCGAACCAGGAATTATAAAAGCCGACACCCCAATTCGGCGGGGACCAACGGTGTTGTGCAAATATTTTGTAACGGGTGAAAGAAAGCCGCGTTCCTCCTCCGTTTCGTTGCAACGTCTATTCCGAGGCCCCGATAAGGCCCCCAGTCGCAGCGGATTCTTTTTATGAATTCTACAGCTGTTGTGCTGTTCATGGCGTATACCTACGCGGCAGCGGCCAAAGGATAAAGCAGTGAGAATAGAAGCGAGATCGGAATGGGAATGGAATTCGAACGGCAGTGCGCATGCGTCAACCTCGTTCATTCACTCTTCCGAATCATTCATAAATCGTGGAGTCCTACGCTTGTTCCTCACGACTAATGATAAAAGAGACGTGCTGCAAGCGAACTGTGCGAAACGTTGTAAGTTACATCATTAAACGGAAAAGTTACGTGACCACATTACGAACGTGAAAAATAACCATCCGTAATCTGGTTTCTTGAAATCAAGTCGCAATGTGCGGGATGTATGTTAACTGTATATCTTACAGATTTGCTTCTTTTATTGAAAATTATATTCCCGAATAATTTTAAATAATGTAATGATGATACTTCCATGTACACTATCGGTAACATCACCGTTGTTTGTTTCGTTTTTCAGATTTAACAAGCGTTACGTAAAAGACTACTTTCTTCCTGAATTTCATATTTCATAAAATTATCGATTATTCGGACCGGAACGTTCAGCCAAGTATTTTACGCGAATATTACAGTCAAGGAGGTAAAAGAGAATCTCTATCGAAATACATTGTACAATGATTATCTTGAGTAACGAAAAATGGTAAATAATATTGGTTTATATTTTTAACGTAGTAGCGATGAGGCGTTGCCTTCGGATTCAGATGTAATTGACGCATTGACCGTACACGCGTTTGGCTAGACACGGTGGGGATAAAGGAAGTACGGATATACCGGATTCGAGGCCGGCGAAAAGTAGAGACAGAATGAAACTAGCCTCGTGTGTGCAACTACGGTAACGTATGATACGGTGAAGATTTAAACAATACTTCTAATGTATTTCTAGCTTTAAAACATTATGAGATTCTACTTGACACTATGAGTCTACTTTGCTTATACTTTGCAGGTTTCAGAAATGCATTAAACATCTGCAGTTCATTGATAACGAATAATGAGTTATCGACACATGCCAAGACGTGTTTCATTAGACACGCGTTTGTAGCGCCAACACTTTTATTTTTCGAAGGCAAGAAGTATCGACTTTCATCTTCGGAAGATAAATTTAAAAAGCTTGAAATTAGATCGGACCCATTGCTAATCGAACGCTGCACATCTCTACGGTGGTGTATTCGTAGCAAGGGGGAAGGAAGATGGTGCGCGCAACCGAGAAACAGCCGAGAGGGGGGGTAGTTAAATCGTTGTGGTGGGGAGATAGGCGCACGCACACCTATGAACCCACGGAATTCGGAAGAGCGGCAACTTCAGTGGCATTCGTTTGCGAACCGCAACACGGTGCGGCTCGCGGTCGTATCTCGTGCTCGTTTCCGATTACGATTTCAACCCCTTTGGATGTCATTGCGTCTCAGCCACTGACACGGCACAAATGAAGTGACTCGGAAACGTTGAATCGTTCACCGTTCGACAAACAAGATATTTTTCAAGAATCACGAAACGTCGAGGAAAATAGGCTGACAAAATTTCCCTGAAATTCTCTCGCGTCAATCGCGGACTCGAATTCTACCTTGACAGGAATAAACAGTTCCTGCGAAAGAATAGTAGCAAACGGTATTCTATCGCGATCCTTTACAGCTAAACTCGTGGAAAGTGCTGTACGCTCCGGTTCACGGTACACTATTCAGAGGGACGGAACAAGTGAGAGGGAAAAAAGGGAGGAAGAAAGAGAAGAGTCACGTTTGCCGAAGAAAGGCGTGCTCACGACCGAGCTTTTACGGTCTCTCTTTTCGTTGACGTATTTAACGCCGATTCATATATTTCTTCGGTGAATGAGATGCATGGGTTCACGAGCAATTAACGCGAACGTTTGACGCGTGCCAGTAACTCGATGAACATTGCGCGGACAGTTTCGTTTTGAACGACAGTCGATACGTCGCGGTTAAATCTAATATCGAAACGCGAGTGAGTTCAAGAGGTGTATTCAAGTTGAAGGAAGCTGGACGCGTTTTGAATATGAGGCTGAGAGGAACGCTCGTGCTGTTGGTCATTGCCAGTGTTGTCTACGGTCAGAGTGAGTATTTTCAATTAAACTTATCCTAATTATTAATGTAAGTCTCTTCAGATAAAGTAGGAAGTTTAGTAGAAAAATTTCTGTATAATAAAACATTTTAAAATTCGAATTTTTCGTGGATTTATATTCGTGTCCAATAATTTTCTTTAGTGGTACGCTCGCGTTTCCGGTCATCGATCAAACTTTTTCATAGACGACATATTTTTGTTGGATATTTCTGTTATAATGATTTGTCAACAATTGCATATATTTATGTTCCAGAAATTTTATCAATGATAACCATGATTTTTTATGACAAATTTTATCATGACTAATTGTTTACATGACATTTTTGATTGTTTTACACGGCATCGCTCATCTCAATGGAATTCGAGCTTCATGTTTCAGGTATACTGACCAGAGCCACGGTCATACTTATCCTTAGTCATTCCGAAGGCTGATCGACGTGCTTCCACGAATATTTAATTCGGAAATCCCCGATATCATTGAAATCAGCAAACTTCCTTGAACGGATGTCTTCGGTCGATATCTTTGAAGTAGACCCATTTCAGTTCCATTTAATACAAGATCGATTTTGAGAATCTCGAGTTTAATGAGCAACATCGAATAAACGATAACGCTCCGCTTTTCACTTTAATTCAAGGGTTTGCACAAAAACCCGATGAAAACTTTGATCTCCAGCCGTTACTAATAGGCCTCCAATCGCGGATATAAATCTTTAATCGATTTCTCTTTGCTCGAATAAACGAGACTCGTAATTTCAGCCCTAATGAATCCCTCACAGGTTCTCAGCATTGCTGGAGATCGGTTTTCGAGATAATCGACAGTAAAGCTGCCCAAAATACGTCTCCACTTTTTTTCCTCCCTTTGACCCGTCAATCCGCCTTTTAGGATTCACGACAGCCATTTACCTGAACCCCTTCGCGAGAAATACGCGGAGGGATGATCCACTCTGAGCTGTGTCCTTTAGGCTCATTTTCTTGCCTTCTGTTCGGTTTTTCTTACGTATTGTATCATTAGGATGTTCTTTGTGAGGCACAGGAAACTATTTGTGTTTCGGTCTTTCTTCAATTTCTATGGACAGATTTGGGATGTTTATTGGAAGTTTGTGTACTAACTACAGTTTGTAATATGACTGTGGTAGATTAAGGTTCTTAAAGATTTTTAGAAACATTGAAGAATTAATATTTGGAAGTAAATGTTTAAGCTTCATCGTCCATTGTCCACCCGCTATTCATCCATTATCCATCAATGTTCCACTATTCGTCCACCATTACAATTTTCTTATTACGAATATACTTATTACGAAAATTGACCAAAGGTAGTACTTAAGTTTGACAAAAATCGATTTCAAGGTCCCTTCGAGAACAAGGTCCGGCGGTTAATTTACACCTCCGGTAAAAAGAGAAAGAAAAAGAGCACTCAAGAAACCATTATGGTAGACCGCCAAAAATGTTTCTTACCGCAGGAGCGGGTCCATTTTTGTTTATTTCCGTCTCCTCTAATCTTAAAGTGTACCGCGGAAAGATCAAGCACGTTGAAGCGGAGAGACTCGTTCTTTTGGCAGTCGATGGAACCGAGGAAAAACAAATGGAGATCTTTGGAGGCCGGTAATTACGTCAAGGAGAAACTGTGATCTTGGACGAGTAAAATACTCTGCCACATTCAAGATTTAAAGAAATGGTTTTCAAATATCGGAGACTAAATTTGAGATTTAATCTAAATTATTTTTGTTCAGAATGCACTGTGTATCTTTACACACTTGGAGTTCTAGTCTTCTCCGCGGAAGAGGAAGGAGAGGAAGGAGACGTAGGAAAGAGCATTGTACGCTTCCTTTGTTCCAAGTTTCTAAATCCCACTGCAATCCCCAAAATTTCAAGTATGCACGGATTCCAAATAACGAAAGTTTTTCACAAAGATTCGTCAAAGTTAATTAGCGGTTCGAAGTGACTTCGTTCGCACCTGTTTCTCAATTAGCCAGGATTTCGTCACGAGATCAAGCTCATTAATCATTTCGGAAAAAATACGGAGTTTCATCGTCTCTGAATCAGACCGCTTTACCTGCACGCCGTGTTCACGAGGAAGTCATTTATCATTGCTTTGGCGACGGCTGAGCTATCAAAACCATCACGCTTTTCTTTCTGTAATATGAAATGGAGAACAAACGGAGATCAGGTGAAGTTCTATCGAGAGGAACACGTGTAAGCTTTGCAAGGAATCATTTCCGGAAACTCCGTACACGATTAGCAGACGTTCGAAAGTGGCATCACCGATAACCATCTACCTGTTTCGAGGGTAGTCCAAGGCAGATGTGCCACGAGCACATTCTTCATCGATGATTGAACGTGACTCTGATACGCTGATATTTCCAAACCGTTCCATCATGAAACATCTGCAAAGAAGCACGTAATATGTTCGAAAGTGTGGGATGTTTTAATTTCTATTCTTGTAACTTCTGCGAGGAGAATTAGAGAAACGAATGTATGTAATTATGAAACTAAGCTTATCTTTCAGAACGAGATTCTTAGATGAAGGTTTAATCGGGACGCCCATACACGTGTAATGAGTTTTACGTAACGTTCATTAGCTAATATCGGTTGAATTGAGTATCAAGGAATCGAGGTTGTTCCAGGTTAAAATGTAGGGTTACACAGGGAACATTGAATTTAGAAACATCGTGGGAGGCCCGATCCCCTCCCTTCAAGGATCCAAGCATTCTTTCGCGAAGGGTTCCAGATCGTATCACGAATCTTTCTCAAACAGATGGCCCTTGAAATCCTGAAGACCCCGTGCGTGAGGTCTTCGATCGCCATTCATAACGCTTTGCCGATGTTGCAAATCTATTAACAAATCACGATAAATCGATTACTATTATCCTTAAATAAATTCATGCGATAGTTTGGAGTGTTTCAAAGTGTTGGAACAAGTCAAGTCTTGCTAAACAATTTTCCAGTGTTAAATTAGCGGAAACCGAAATATCTTGTATAACACGTTATATTCCGTAATAACGAGACGTGGTGGGTGGATGTCAGAGGGATAATATTTGTACGGGATTGTTCGTTGAATATCGAAGCATAATGTTGGCCAGTGTGTAGGCTGCGAATAATTGATATGCAAATGTGTCTTTTAAGCTAGATAGCATTGACGATGTAACGTTACGAGCTAATATGATCAACGAAGAAGTTCCATTTCTAAATACGTGCGGCCATTTTGAAACGTTAACACGATTTAACCATTGAAAAATTACGGGTCATGGAACTCTGTATTATTCAAGGTCCTATCTAGGAGAATATGGGAATACATTTGGAACTTCGACCTCTGAAAATGCAAGGAAGTTAAAAATTTAGATGTTTGATTATAGGAAACATAGAAATTTAGGTTTTTCTTCAGAGAATTTAAAGAAGCATTTGAAGCTTCGACCTCTAAAAATGCAAGGAAGTTAAAAATTTAGATGTTTGATTATAGGAAACACAGAAATTTAGAAGGTTTTTCTTCAGGAAATTCAGAGAAGAATTTGAAGCTGCTATTTTTGAAAATGCAAGAAAATTAAAAGTTCAAAAATGTGCATATCCAAGAATTTTAAACATGGAATCGTAACAAAAGTATCAGAGTGCAATACCGGCTCTCGATTTCCAAAGATCGGCTCATTGTTTCGTTCCGTCCTGTGCGGCCTAGGTTTCTTTGTCTCTTGTGCGATTCAATGGCTTCGGCATTTCGTATCGTACGATGAACGATGGACGAAGCCTCTCTCTGTTACGTTTCCCACAGTTGCCCCGTTCCGTTTGCCGCGCAAATGTTCGATCGGTCGGAAAATAATAAGCGCGCACCGAACACGGTTCATGTTCGATGATATTGTGTCTCGAGGAGCCAGGACGAGAGAGGCGTTCCTCGAAAACCGCAAAGACGCGAGGTGTACTCGGGGTAGCTCGGTTATCTGTTTTCTTTTTCGATTCTTTTGCCGTGAAATCGATTTGGGCGTATACGAAGGGAACGAAGATTCGAGGCTGAAGAAACGGGAGTAAGAAAAGATTGCTTCTTGTTTCCTGTTCCGGCTGTAAAGCGGCTCGAAATTCGTGTAACTCCGAACCAATTAACCCGCTACGTTTTTTACGCGATCGGTAAGAAACTGTAATCGTGTTTTTGGTGAAAAGTGTTTTTAGTGGTCTCCATGTTTCATGAAGTATTTTTAGCGAAGCTAGAAAAAAAATATTTGAATAATTCATTGGAGGGTCGAAGGGTGGCCACTCGAGACACATTTATTTCCGAGGGACCAGTTGAATCTTTGAACACGTTTCATCCCCCGGCAATGCCTTGGATTCTATGGGGTCCTGTAAATCACCTCATTGAGACCCTCCAATCGATAGAAACCTTCAAAAAAGAAACACACTTGCAAGCAGAGAGTGTTAGATTCATTGTTCCAACCAGCATCAAATACGCAGCCATGTTTGTCTCTCCAAATCGATATATTGTGATACTTTTATGTCCCGAAATTGCATCAGAGATCTTATGCAACGATTAACAATCGTAGCACCGATGTCATTGTTTGCTATAAATAACCAGGCATTTACATCGAGGTGTAGACATCATACGAATGAAGCAATTAATTATTATAAACGAAAGAAAAAAGCGAGCACAATGCGTCGACAATCAGCTAGTTATTTCAAGAGCCGTGAATAGGATTTACACCTGTTCGTTTAACGGAGAAACTTGAAATGTTGCAAAGAATACGCAACCGTGTCTGGCGCATTGAAAGGTTCCCAAAGGAGGATTGCGAATACCTGGCCACTTATGTTCACAATGCATCTCGTGCGTAAGTTCGCATGTATACTTATGGCATTGTCCAGAATCGTGAGCCATGAAAAACCAGTCTCTCCTCGTAGCTCGTGCCGAACTTTCAGCGTTCATTTGCGTGATACACGTATCATTAAACAAGGAATACGGGATAAACGGGTGCACGGCGTAATGGGACGTTTCCGTATCAGTCATTTTCAAAACAACAG